CTGAAAGATAATTCTTTAAAAAAAAAACACAACAAGCAAATGAAATCAATTCACACAGAGGAATCTGTGTGCATATATATCTGTGCGTCACCAGTAAAGAGGTCATGACGTTACAAGGTTTGTTGCTCCCTGGTGTAATCTGGGCCATGCAGGGTGGGGTCAGAGTTGAAGGGTGAGAGGTGACGGCTCTTTTGGTCACTGAAAATACCACAGAGCCAGAGAGCAGAGGGTTATTGAACAAGCCGTCATGTTTTCCTTGTCTGCTCACATACCGGAAGTTTTTAAAAACATGTCTCCTTTCTTCTCACAAATCACTGCTTTCTCTTTCAGAGGCTTTGGAGATGTGACGGCGGAGAAAGGTGGATTCTCCCGGCAATAGCGCTCAGCTCTCAAACTACGGCTGCGTTACGGATTACGGATGCTGCTCATTTGGAATAATGGAGGGGGCTTTAGGCATTTGAGGCCAGCCATGTGAGAATGGTCAATGGGGGAAAGCGCAGTCTGTCTGGACCACGCTCACCTCTCCCATTATTCAACCTACTTCCATTTCCTCATTGTCCTCTTGTGTTCTCTCCTCTGCCCGGCTCTCTCCTTCCTATGTCCTTGTCTCCTTTGTGCCACTACTCCCCCTCCACGCCTCCCTCTACCTGCTCTGACAGCCCTTCCCCCCACCTCCAGTGTCTCACGTAGTCCCTCAAATTAATGTAGAGATATTGACAGGTGATTGGCCCGGGAGGCATTGATCATCAGGAGGGAGAGAAGGAACGAGGGCCCGCGTGTGGCCCGGCCAAACGGATGGAGCAGCTTCCATATCATCCACCCAGATTTGTGTCTAGCGAATCTCCACCACAGCTTCACAACGTTTTCGCCCCAAAGTCCTTCATCGGTTGGTTTACTTTCTCCGCCACTCAGAAACCAATAAGAATCGAAGCACGAAGAGGAAGAAGCAAACACACCTTAAATAAAATGACCGGGCACATACGTATCCTCGTCCTCCACACTTCTCTTCATCCTATGTAAACTGGAAACGGTGCTGCTAACAATGTGCAAAAGGGCCAGTTTGTCAATATGCCAATTACATAGATGAGGGTATAGAAAGGGCAAATGATAGCCAATCATTGAAGTGCTTTCACTGTCCTCGGGCAAGAGCCGACCCCCTGACCCCGTTTGATGACCCCAGGGCCAAAGGTCTCCTCTCCAGAGGTCAGAGGGCATGGCCGTATGCGAGCCTGGAGAGAGAGGCGTTGCTATGGTAACAGCACTGGCAGAAGATTGGCGAGGTGTGGCGACCAGGAGGAGAGGGGTCAATCCGGGTGGACTAAGCAGTGATGTGATGTTTAAGCTGCATTCGGTGGCAGTATTTCCAGGTGTGGTTGTTAGTTTCAGGAGCCATTCCGATATGATTTCACTGACTCAGGGGTTCGAGAAATGTAATTCTTGACATGATCGAAGATCAGTTTTATCTTTTGTATATAGAACACGTTTTCTATTTTTTGGTGGAAGGAAACCATTCACTCTTATGCACTTGAGTAAACCTTTGTGATACCTGCTTTACTTGAGCACTCAAGTAAACCATTTTATGCTGCTTTACACTTTTCAAAAGGAAATGTTGGTTTTTACGATATTCTTTGGTGAGTCGGCAGCTTGCTGTAATGTTGCAGCTTTCTTTTGTTTACTGGACTTTTTCTTAAATTAGATTCTATTTTGTTATTTGTGCTTTCTTTCAGTAATATTTGGTGTTATCTGAACTACTTCCACCAATTGACCCGTGTCTTCAACATTCCTTCTTGAAGATTCCTTTTTAAAGCCACTTTTTCTGCCCTTTTATATTGGGAAGCGGTACGACATTTATTTATTGGTTGATTTGATAGGGGACAGTGCACATTAATAAAAACATTACCGTAAATGTGCTATTAGCCGTAAGGCTATTTTGTCACCTGTAGTCCCAAGTGGAAGATGATAAAAAATAAACCTAAAAACAGAAGATAAGATTACATTTAAAAAGAAGATAAGATTACATTTAAAAAGAAGATAAGATTACATTTAAAAGGTAAACAATACTGATACCACTTTACAATATGACAAACCATGACATAACACGATGATTACTTTTACTTCCCGGTGTAAATTTGTACACAAGTGAAGTTTCTGAATGTTTATTCCATCACTTTTTCATTCATAAAAAGTAAGGCTCATTTCGGGGAAAACAGATATATGGCCACAAGCAGGACCGTCATCTGAGGTATTTACAAGCTCCACATTGGACATTTGACAAAATAATCTTAACTCATGACCCACATGCTGGGTTTTCTGAAGCTTTCAGTCTCATCTGCTGATCATTGTTTTTATTTTGGGTATCTTATAAACTGTTAAGTAGACAAAAGGAATCTGCATGGAGTTTCCCTGCTAGTCACTCATTCACACATTGGTTTCCTTCGTTAAAGAGGACAATGTTCTTTCTCTTCCTTGGAGACTCAATTCAATTAGTTTAATTTTTTATCAAAAGAAATTTGACATTTACCATTAAATGAGACAAACCACAAATACTTTCAGTGAGTATGTTTTTGACTGAATAGGTTGGGTGGGGCCTTTTAATTGCCTTAAATGATTGAAAGTATTATATCAACATATATAGATGTATATATATAACATTACATTTGTTAGTAAATTAAATTAAATTAACTTAATAATTATGAAAATACACATTTTTAATCTGTTGTTTTATTGCCTGATTGTTTTCACTGATGATGTGGTGGTACCAGCACAAATCGAACAGCCACTAATACACATTTTAGGTATTTTATTATTTTCAATAACTGCCAAATATCAATGAAATTCTGTCCCTCTGTTGATTCCTCACTCTTCCTCGGTATTTGCAAAAAAATGTTGTAGAGGAGGCATTCATTTTTACTCCTCTTGTTGTGGAACCTATTGTTCTCCTTTTGAAATATAGTAAAAACTGAGACGTGTGACACTTTTGACTAGCGTATCCAACGTGACCCTTCTGTTTCTTTTTGTGTGTGTATATCTAATATTCAGAAAAATAAAAGGTGAGGAGGCTACATACACTTATGTGGCCTTATAAGCAAAACCAAACATATAAGGAAAGTTACAATTTTGTTTTCATATGCCATGACTTATTTGCTTTCTGTTGTATATTTCTGAGATTGAAATAGTGCCAAAATATGCCAACAAAATATCCCCAATGCCATTAAACCATCGCTAGTAGAAGCCAGAACGTTTGATACAATCAGGATAAATCCATTCCTTCATGTCAAATTATAACCCTAATATCTAAATTTTGCAGCAATAATCGAGACTCATCAGAGCAGGCAACATTTTTCATCCATCCATCCATTATTTTCCTGTTATTGAGGGCCGGGTCTCAGAGGCCAAAGGCTCCGCAGGACATTTTCAATCATTTATTGTTCAGTTTTGGACAGTGTTTTGACATTTGTAGCCTTTCCTGTTGTTAAAAATGGCACCGGGTTTAATCTGCTGTAGCCCGTCTAGTTTAACGCGTTGATAATGTTATTGAAAGAAAGAGGAAGCCAGACAGAGGCCTTTAGTTCCTCTAGATCTTGATTCAAAGTAAAAGGAAGGGGAGATAAGTAGAACAAGAACTATGTGTTTACTTACGTATATATGTATAGAGAGATGCACAGTATGACGCCAGTAGCTTTATTTGCAATCAACATCTTTACTCATTTCATAACCACACTGAACAAAGAGTAATTGCATATATAAACATGGCAAATCTTCAAGATGATGTGCACTAAAAATGTTTAGCATATCTGTAAGTTGACATTTTAATCTTTTTTTGGGGGGAGTTTTGGTGCAGACGTCCCCTTGTGTGGACAGGAAGTAAACTGCTCTTCTCATGTGACCATGTACTAAACATATGGCTTCGCATATATTTAATTTACACCCCTTATTATTTCAACATCTGCTGTAAATACATTGATAGATCATTCAGTAACATTTTAGAGTATTATAATGGACAACCTAGTATTTTATCGATGGGATTAAATGTGGTTTCTACATCCAGGGGGATACTTCTCTGAAGGCTGCAAAGAAATAAGCACGAGCGCCCTCTGCTGAAATAAAACCACACAACAGTGCAGCGAATATACATAAATGCAGTTGTTTGTTTTCTGAAGTGTTGTTGGACAGACATCAATGATGTTTATGAGAAGGAACTAAGCTTCTCAGGTGTTTTCATTTATGTAATCTTGAATATATTTGTATCTGTGTTGTTTCTAAATAATGAAAGCTGGCAACTCGGTTACATCTCCTGAAGCAGTTAGTTTATTTTAGAAAATCCATATTTAAAGAATCAAGGTTCAGGGATTATTTATTGTCATTGTACAACACATGGTTGCACAACAAAACCGCTGCATAGCACTTGCTTTAGTCATATGATATGGTTACTAGTATTATTTTATTTTTGTGTCAGCCACAGTGCTGACATTAAATACTGTTGAATAATTATTCCTATTGGATTAATTTGAAAGCAGCCATTAAAATTCTGCTTAAACAGCACTGGTTGAATAATATCTCTAGAATTAGGTCGTGCATGGACTGTGCTGTTCCAAATATGAATTTGTAACAGAGCACATTGAAAAGGAACTGTGAGCAGTAGATAGTGGAGGGTGGGGCCAGTAGTAAACACTGCAAGGACACAACATAGTATATGCTTGGTGTTTTATAGGATGGTAAGCAAAAACAAGTAAAGTAAAAGGTAGTTTGGCCTTCAGAAAGTTCTGCAAGATCATGATGTTTGACTCAACCTAGCTAAGAACAGTTGTTGCATAAACGGACGTTTCCAAATAAAAGTCTTAAAGGCAAACTTCTCCGTTATATGCAACAAGCAATGAGGACCCGCCCTGCTCTGCCTATGATTGGCTGACGCGCGTTGCTATCGTCTGTTTGATTGGTTAAACGGTGGCAGGATGAGTGAGATTGTCTCGGGTCAAAACAAATAGCGTGTGCTAACGTTAATCCAATCAGAGAGGCAGAGTCAAGTACTGGGCCTGGATCCCCGTCTCTGCTACTCGGACCGGTGTCTGTAGCGACCATATAACCGACCTGCTGGAGGAAATAAAGGGGCAAAGTAATAGACGGACACTCCTGCTCCATTGGTCGGGTGTTGCTAACTGGAACACCTGATTGGGCACACGACGCCGTCACGGCGTCTGTTCAGCTAGCGTCAACAGTGGTACTAACGCAGCTAGCTAACGTTAGCAGATGAAGCTAGTCGGCTAACTTCAAGTGCCGCTGCTGATGCCTACGGTTTTGCAATATTTTAGTTTGACGCCACGCTGTTGATTGTTCAGCCTGGAATCTTTTAAAATCCACATATTTAGGTTCAGGACAGTGGCCATAATGCTAGTCATCGTGCTTAACGGCGTGAGTAACGTTTCCGTTACGCCTCATCATTCAAAACAAATCATTTCGCGTTAGCTAGCTAGCGTCCCTGTCATCCAGCTACGAGGGCAGCCGACGGCGTCGTAGTGCCTGTTTTTGTGTAATTTACAGTGTTGCACATTGGAGTATTTTGATTCGGAGACACATAACCTAAGCAGTCTGGGGCCGAGCTTTAAACGTTGAACCCCATACTTCTGTTAGGTTCCATTTACCATTGTTATCTGTCCCACCTGCTCACTGACAGCTCACTTACAGGACAGTTAGTCAGGCAGCATAGCTGACACCTTTCTTCAGTCATTTCCAGCTCGGTTAAAATCGTTCAATTATCAGTTGTCAAAACTGTAAAGAAAAGAAAACACTCAAATCAATCAAGTGAATCCACAAGTGAACATGGCCCCTAAGAAGAGACCGGTTCCCTTAAACATCGCTCCTGCTGGGAATGGTTCATCCACCTTCCCCAACACTGATGCTGCGTCTGAGTAAGTCATTCTACTCACCACACTGACATACTGTAAAAAACGAAATATCAGTCGTTTCTAGGGAAGATGCTTTAATTATGTTCCTTGTTGTTTTTTCTCAGGGCCAATTTAGAAGCGCTTAAACTCATTTTGGAAGAGTTGGACATGGATGAACAACAGAAGAAGAGGTTAGAAGCTTTTCTTACCCAAAAGGCCAAAGTGGGTGAGTTGAGAGACGACGACTTCCATCGCGTCTGCGAGCTGGGCGCAGGCAACGGAGGAGTCGTCAATAAGGAATGCCATAAATCTTCCGGAATAATCATGGCCAGAAAGGTAAGCTACCAATTAAACTAATGATATGAATGTGATCAAATGGCTGCTGCTGTACAGGAAGTCATGCCCAAACTGGTAATAAAACATCAAACTGATCATGCAGTAAAACCCATTCAAGATAAACATTCTCTTTTCTGTTCAGCTTATTCATCTTGAAATTAAACCTGCATTCAGAAACCAAATCATCAGAGAGCTTCAGGTGCTGCATGAGTGCAACTCTCCGTACATTGTGGGATTCTATGGGGCGTTTTACAGCGATGGAGAGATCAGCATCTGCATGGAGCACATGGTGAGAACATTGGAATGTCTTTTGCTAGAAATTAAAGATATTTCTGTATTCGTCAACTTCTCCACAAAGAGATGTTATCGTCTTTTTCCCATTTACACGTTTGTTATCTTATGCGCTCAACCTTTTACTGACAGGCTCATAGATGGGCATTTTGGCGTAGTTCAAGGAATGTGGCACTGGATAAAAATATTAATCTTGAAATATGATCAATTGATAAAGAGTTCAAATGCAAATCTCAAATTCTCCCAGATCAATGAGTTCTGCAGAAGACAAGTGCTTACTCAGTAAATGTGCTCACTGAACATAAACAATAATGGAGAAGACATTTTCTTTTCCTTTGGAATACTGTTTTAGACAGGATAAGCTTTTATTTAGATTTGTATCACAACCTTTGCCTCCTTCTCCGGGGAACCATCACCTTATTGTGGTGGAGCGGCTTCTGTGTGTCTATGAATCTGGGGGCTGTGTTGTCTGGAGCCTGGTGCTCCTGGTGCGGTTACCCTTCACCAAGTGGTCTAATGCGAGGGGCCAGACTAAGAATGGTTCACAAAGATCCTACGAGAAAGGGGGAGAGGAAGGAGCAAGTCCGGGGCCCCCATCTGGAGCCAGGTGAAGCACTGACGGCTGGGCTCGCCGTGAAGCCCGGCCGGGCACAGTAGTCATTCCTATGGCCTCAACCCCCTGTGTGGGGAAACCGATGGGCTGGGCTGCGCTGCTATAAGGATGGCCGTGATAGTGGGTGGGGTCTAGACGGACCAGACGTGGGAAGCAGTATTGTTCAGTATCTCCCTTAACTGTACAGGATGGTGGATCTCTGGATCAGGTGCTGAAAAACGCAAAAAGGATCCCAGAAGAGATTCTGGGCCAAGTGAGCATCGCTGTAAGTTTATGGTTATCTTCTACATCTGTAATGTTATGTGGTGTTACATGTTTGGTGATCAAGATCTTCCATACTGTTATCACTCTTTCATCTGACTGTATTGGGCTCAAAAGAAACAATGACGTTAATATAAAAAATAAAAACACACTCACACACGCCCATGACGGGTCTTTTGGTTGTTTCCGACTTATTTCCACATTACGGCTTTATATGATTATTGTGTGTGAATTTTTTCTTCCAAACAGGTTTTGAGAGGACTTGTGTACCTAAGAGAAAAACATCAAATTATGCACAGAGGTACTCATTCTTTGTTGATTGGTTACTGCATAGTATACAATTGCAAAGTCCATTGTATTGAGTTAAAACGCCAGCCCGGTAACGTTGTTTTATATCTTTTTTACCCCCAGATGTTAAGCCTTCAAATATACTAGTGAATTCACGGGGGGAGATCAAGCTGTGTGACTTCGGTGTGAGCGGGCAGCTCATAGACTCTCTGGCCAATTCTTTTGTTGGCACGAGGTCCTACATGTCGGTACGTCTGAATTACGCCTTAAAAAGATCATCACAGTTTAGTTGCTCCACTTTACTGTATTAGAAATAAACAATGTCTTATTCATTCGACTTCAGGTCATTTAAGACTCGTGCAGTACGCAACTGTAACCTATATTTCTGGATTAAATGTGTTTATTTTGCTGTGTGTTTGCTGGATAGCCTGAGAGATTGCAGGGAACCCACTATTCTGTGCAGTCAGATGTGTGGAGCATGGGGCTCTCCCTTGTGGAGATGTCCATCGGACGCTACCCCATCCCTCCTCCAGATGCCAAAGAACTGGAGGCAATATTTGGACGTCCCATCTTGAGTGGTAGCGAAGGAGAGACGCACAGCACTTCGCCCAGACCGAGATCATCGGGGAGACCTGTCAGCGGTGAGCAACGGTCACAACTGTGTAAAATTCCATTTGCTTAATCATACTGATAGTGTGGCTGGTAAAATATTGTTTTTACCTCAGTCTTGCTTGAAATATTTAATATAAAACACAGTTTCCTCACGCTCTTTTTCCAGGTCATGGTCCTGCCATGGCCATCTTTGAACTACTGGACTACATAGTAAATGAGGTAAGAATCCAAGACGTTTTCCAAGGAACATCTAAAAACTCTTCCCTGGTTCCATAAAGTATTTAGTGTCGTCCTTACAAAATCAATTGACATGTTCATTCAACTTTCTGCTGCGTTTCAGCCTCCTCCCAAACTCCCACATGGTGTTTTCACCTCTGATTTCCAGGACTTTGTGACAAAGTGGTAAGACGACATTTTAGCCCTGAAAATAGTTAATTTGTTCTTTTCACACACAAATAATCTTTTTGTATCGATGGACGAAGGAAGTTGTCAGCTCTTCTGTCATTTTCAGCCTCATCAAAAATCCAGCTGACAGGGCCGACTTGAAAATGTTGACGGTGAGTGTCCTCATGTGGACCACGGCTTCAGAATTCTAATTCATGCTACCACATTTTCTCTGGAAAAATTTTAGATCACAAATGTTGGTTGAACTCTTTTACATTTTGTGAAGGCAACTGTTATTCTCACGACCCTTAAAGCGAGAGCGACCATTAGAGAACTTTGCTCTGTTTGACGATTGTGTTTTTAATATCCAGTGTGCTATTTGTATTGATTGTTTTGTTGCAGAACCATATGTTTATCAAGCGGTCTGAGGTGGAGGAGGTGGACTTTGCCGGTTGGCTTTGTAAAACCATGGGACTGAACCAACCCAAAAGTCCAGCGCGCACTGCAGACTAATCTCACACACACACACACACTCATTCATGCACACAGTATGTACATGTAAGAACATGGAGAAGCCGCTGCCTGAAACCTCACAACCACATACGCATCCTGTTTGCTATGTCAAATTAACTCCACTGAGTGCGCCAGGAAAGACTCCATGTATGTACAGCGCGAGTATTAACATCACGGTTGTGCATCCGTACAGACCGATGCATGTATAAATATTTTTTAATATATTTTATGCAGACATATTTAGAAATGTAAGAAAGCGTTTATTTAATGAAAACGTGTTGGCTTATGCACCCAAGGTGTCTTGTGTTTTAGAGAGATGATTGAGTCTAGGATGTTTTTTGCAATTGGAGATGTGACTGATTTCTAAATAACGTTGAGATGTCTAAGGGTGAAGCACAATGTTTAATATATTTTAACATGACCCTTGCGTCAAAGCCAAAAAATGTAAAAGAAGTTGCAACCGTAAATGGAGCCTCTGCTTCCTTTGCCGGTTGGGATTGTTAACATGTGTTCCCATTAGCGTCAGATACAGTCTGGTAGAGGCTGCCTTTTTGAAAAGATTATAGAGATTGATCCCTGGACAGTTCCTGCTGCAATAGGACGGCTTTCATCACGTGAGAAAGCGGCAGTCTCAGTGGAAGCAAATTATTGTTGCATTGTATTTGCTAAGATGTGAACAACAGGACATGGATTTGCCATTGAAGTGCATCCTGTGTCGCAGCAGAATCCGGGCGTTTTTATCCATCATTTCTTTTTTTCTATTTATCTACTTCCTTCTCTTAAGTAACAATATAGATGTTTGAATGGTATTGTCATTGATTTGTCAATAAATTACCATGTATTGTAAGATTACGTCTGTTTTTGCCTGAGTACCACCTCACTGTTTATCCACTTATTTCACCAGAAGGGGGAAGCACTCACATTAAATGAACTGAGGACTTAGTTGACTAACAAAAGTATGCTGCACAACACAAATATAAAAATATAGTTAGTACTGTATGTGTGGTGTATTGTGCTTACATTGCTGCAACCAAGTTAACGCATGTTCATGCTGACTGAAAGGAAAAGCGGGACCGTGAATTAAAGCCCCGTTGAAAACATTAGTTCTCCATTTAAACTCCGAACACAATGATTCATCTGTTTGGCTCGTTTCTGGAGTAATAAGGAAATGTCTTCCCTCGAATGTCTTGTCAACTTGCGGATGAAATGTGAGGCGTCGAGCTGATGGAAAGCCGTAGTGTTGCAATGTGTGGGGTGGCTAGTCGGAGCAATGTTGATGGGAGGGGGACTACTGCAGCAGAAAAACAGCAAAGTCTGCAGTCATTAATATGCAAATATGCAAATGAGAGGGTAATTAAGATTGGGCGTTTGTCAGTGGCTCTTTGATTGCTAATGAATTCAAATCTGCAAGAAAAAGGGGGAGGGGAGGATGAGCTAAAAAACGAAAAAGAACTGGATGCTATTGTGCTTTTGCTCATAAGAAAAACAAAGAGTAGTGAGTATAGAACGTGAAGGCCTTATTTAACCAAAGAAAATACTTTACATTAATGCTTTCAGACTGACATCAATATAAAAAAAAAGATGACAACACCGAACCGAACCTGATATTTAACAAATTCTGTAAGAAGCATGCATGTCACAATCGTGTTCTAACCATGTACGCCATCACTAAGCATTCGGCATGGCAGACCAGAGATTTCTGCCCATTAAGAGTGATGTGGCCGACTCCCGTTGAGAGAAATGCTCAGGTATCTCGACAGGGTGTGTGCAGCACGTTGTGTGTCACAAACAGTGTTATTTTCATATTTCTGGAGAACGGGGCGCCTGCAGTTCACACATGAGCACACACTGCTGTTATCGTCGTTTCAGTGGTCCCTTGACACTTGTACGTCTTCCTCCCTCCTTGGCATGTGAAATGAGAATGTGTATACAAGGAATAAAAACAAATTAAATGTTGTGAAGAATGGGGAAACACAGCTGCGCTTGTTACCTTATAGCATAATGACTTGCTCTCAATGCAGCAGAATTTCGCCGGGCTGCACAGTCGCCACGACAACGTTGATGTCCGTCATACCCAGTCACAAATGCCCCTAGTTATTAGACGGTCTTGTTTGTGAATAATCACAAAAAAACACCACACCACTGAATACGTTTGATATTAATATTTTGAATACTGAACACCCAAATACTATATTTACAATACAATATCACACTCAAATTGCTGCATGTGGCAATTGCGTGTTATAACAGCTGATGCCAGGCCTGCTCTATGTGACAAGTGGTGGAGTCTATGAGTTTGGTTGCATGTGTTTGAAAGAGAGAGGGGGCTTTATTTTTTTTGCAGGAAACAGGAAACAAGAAGTCATAACAGGATGCCCCAGGTTTTCATACTGTACCTGATGCGTGGGTGGCTGCACGGGGGTAACCCATTTACTAAGCTGTCATCTGGAAGAAGAGAGAACCCAGGAAAGAGTGGGTGGCAAGGAGGGTACACATTTAGGGTTAACGAAGATGTAGTTCCACTCTAAATATAGCATTTTTACGGTGTCTTGAGTCTTATCGTACACCCTTCATGTTGTTTTTCTTGCACGCCATTTGTCCTACTTTTTAAAAGGCAACAAACCAAACATTGTCTGATGTTTTGCGTGTAGCTGTGATACGATCACTTCCGTGGCAAAAGCATGCACCGTCTTTCCCCAGGTGTGCTGTAGGAGCTTCTCAAGTGAATCTCTGACATGATACCAGTTTTGTCACAATGAGGTTGATGTGCTCACGTTGCCTGAATGCTCCTAACCATGTCGGAAAAAAACAAAAACATAAAGATGCTTTTAACTGCATCTGTCTTTAACAATGCATTTCAAAGCTGCCTTTGCTCTCGAGTCAAATTTACTGTTGTAGCCTACATTTTTATACATTTATTTTTTTTTAAAAGATAACATGGTAACCCGTCTTTAGTCACACTGTTAATGACATACAGGTGTGTGCTTGAGTTGCATGCGTCCAACTCATGCTGAGTCTGTGTGTGTGTGTGTGTGTGTGTGAACCACAAAGTGGATGGCTGAGTTTTCTCGTAAAGGCCAGCACAGATGTTATTTAGGTTGTTTCCCCACAAACCAGTTGAGGTTTTCTTTTGAACGTCTCAAAACAAACGCCGACAGTAACTGCAGCCTTGTTTACATAACCACCAAGGTACAGCTCGTGAGAAAACAGAAACCAGGACACTTTGGTGAGTTAGATGCTGCATGCAAAGTCACCAAGATTCCAGCTTGGCAAAAGAAAGCAATTGTACCAGTATTATTAGTATTTTTCTTCAACAGTCTTTCAGTCTTTCTTCCCCACATAAATACAAATTCACACTTGCACATTCACACATGTTGCACTCATTTTCCAGCAAATGTTTTTGTTCTTCCTTTATTACCAAGCTAAATCCAAGCCATAACTATTGGATAACTTGTGAGCGTGCAATACTATAGATGTAAAAAATGAGGGGCTACTGGTATGGTTATAAATGAGCTTCTTATTAAGCAGATATTCACGTAGGCGAACTACAAACCCTACTAAACTAATACTAATGGGTATTGCGAATGCATGATAAATAATATTACATGGAATTGTGCATGGTATAAAACATATTGCCCGTTTTGGTATTTATTCATTGCCAGGTTGCACCATGATCTGAGGTTTTTGACCATGAATTTAGCAAATTACAATACCTAAAAATAAAAACTTTCCTACGGTCTATTAATGTTAGCACAGGAGCACAACTAAGGACGGCGGACTATTTCTCCTAGACTATCAAACAAACGCGAATATTTTTTGTAGCTCAGGCAGGGCTTGAGAACAAAATTAAAACGCGTGCAACCCTAAGGCAAAATTAGACTGCCCTCAAGGCTGATAATGAAATATGGTTGGACGCCCCACGTGTCAATCAAATGTGTGTCGTATCCCATTGGTCCGCCCTCCGATATTATCATTCCATCTTCTACAAGTCTAGGCTGTTGGGCTTTCCGCCGTCCTCATCCGCGCGTCGACATAGGTCCCCGCGAATTGCCAAGTATAGTCATTTTGTGCGGCATTTACACCCACAAACTGACGCGTTGTGTTATTTAAATTAACTGCTGCATTAATACAAGGATAACTGAAGCCTGCCGCGTTCGTTATGTCCGTTTGAGTCGAGATTGGACGTCGCTAATGTTCCAGCGTCCATGTCCCCCCGTAGGCTGTTCCGCGGAGTGATATCCACTTCATTGCAACCGACAATGTGGAGGCTGTTAAAATGTCTACTTGGAAAATGAAATTGTTACATTTTCTCTCACAATAAGGAAACAGTGCGGCTTCAGCGTTATGGTTAAAAACGTGTTTTCAGTTTCGTGACGAAAACAAGCAGACGAGGTGACGGAGGAGCGGTTCATATTGTCTTTCCTCATTTTCATCGAGCCCGCAGTCCGGACCACGGGGGGAAGGATCCTATCCCCAACTTTGTTTTTCTCTCTACTGCAGCCGTCGATTTCTCGCCGTTGGATGCCATAGAATTGAATCCAGGTAAATATGTCTACGCGCACACATCCACGGGCAACAAATGCACGTCAAACCGAAGTCGCCTGTCGCGTTGTTACCGGAGTAATAGTCAAGTTTTTAAGCGCATCGTTCAAGTTGTTAACCGAGTGCCACAGCCGGGAAAAGCGGGGTCTTGGATTTTTTTTCTCCGTCCCTTTCGGCCTGAGCGACCTCGCGGCGTTGTTACCATCGCGACTGTGGTTAACGTTAGCTTATATGCGGTGGAAAAGATTTCTTTGTTCACTTCAGTGGGCTATAACGTTAGCTGTTACAGCACATTAGCATATCGCCGGACTGAATTACCCCCCCCCCCCTTTCCTCTCCCCCCCGGCGACCCCGGGATTTGGCTTTCTGTAGTATGACGGTTTGACGAGGAACGCACGTATTTAACGTTAGCCGTTTAGCGTTAACGGCGACACGCGTTGGTGGTGTGTTCTATCTAACGGTACAACATTCCAGGCTGCAGCTAAAATGGCTAATCCCCCCCCCCGCTATCAATATGTAAGAGTTTTACTAACGTAGCTTGGATCACTGTACTCACTGGTTTATAACACAAAATGGTGCAATGGTAATAAAAGCGTAGTTATAAGTGTAACTCCGGGGTATTCTGTTTTTTTTCTCTTCTCCCTCCACCAACAGCAACAAGAATGCCCGTTGAAGCCTTATTTACTCCATCTTGCTTACGTTCAAAACACTGTTTTGGCCCATTATCTCAAGAACTGGTGACTTTTATTCGCGTTTTGTTGCGTTCTGGCCGTTCAGCGGAAACTTTGGTGGCCCGAGTCTTTGTGTTCATTAGCGCCCCGTTCTCCTGCTCGACGTGAGGGGTGGGCAACAGGTTTTTAAGGCCCTTTTAAAAAACGTCCCGCAGGGGTTTAACCTTCCGACGGGGCCCATTAAAAGTCCCGAAATCTCCTTTCTGGGCGACCGGCGTGAAATGTTGTGGGGGTATTTCTGCCTTTTTTTAAAACTTTTTCGCCAAATGGGAAGGCCGGAGGTGGGGGTGCGCGAGACAAGCGTTTGCAACTTCCATTTGTTAGGAGGGGCGAACACTTATCCCCCATTTTGACCTCAGCCCAGTGAAAGACAGAAATTACCGGATTATGTAGTACCAAAGTATTTTCGCTTGTCCTTATGCAAATGTTCTACATTTATCTTCACTGGTTTCTCTTTGAGAAAAGATTACACGACGTACTAATATTTGCATTTATTTGTGTGTTTTCTTTCTCCCCGTTAGGCTTGATTTAGTGGTTGCATCGCACAATCGCAGATGTTAGTTCAACATTTTTTGGTGTTATAACGTTTTTACTTGACTATAAATAAAGTAGTGACATTAGTCCCCATGTTTCCAGGATTTTCACTGATCAAAGTTGCACTCCAATGCAATTGGTATAAAGTTAGATTCATTTCATGAGTAACATTGTAGTTTCAATGAACAGCTGAAATTACCTAAAATTAAAATCATTTGTCAAGTGAATAACTTAAAGTAAATCTTCCTTCATGTCCTGAAAAGTTATTTTAATGTTAGAAGTGAAATTATCCCAAGAGATTTACATATGCAGCCTATTTCACAACCCATATAAATCTAAAATCCCACCCTAATTGCTCAAAATACAGTATGAATGTTGTAGTGTTGTCATTTTAACTTTTCCCCCCTTCTTAACTGGAAAAACCATATAGCAGTTACAACAAAAGATTGGACAAAATCTACACAGTGGTCAGCTTTTGTTGATTGACTGCCAAAGTGTTAACTCAATTGTATATACATTGTTGAAGTAGTGCTAGTTGTATACTTTAAGTTACTAGTCACTGTCTTGGTAATCACAGCAATTCAGACATTGTTGGCACTTATACGATGATTGTGTTACATTTACATTTGCAGATGTACAAAAACATCGAACCAGATTAGACAAGTTTTAAAGACAAATAATTTGCTTCACATGTATAATCTATTTAAAGTGGAAAAACCCCAAACGCCCCCCAAAAAACAATAATATATTTTAGACTACTGAATACTGCGCTACCTTAGAGGAACAGCAGCCATACGTCAACACCCAACAACACTAACTGAGCAAATTTTCTCAATGCCTCCTGAGTACTACAAAATAATAACGTTCTGATTTTGCCCTGCTGGTGTTCACCGCTTTCGTATTGCAGGGTGTCTCCTGGTTGGCTCACCTTCTGTGGAAATTGTGCTTATTTAGACGTTTAACACACATGGCCTGGATTTGCATTTGATACTGGCGGGTCAGACCATACATCTCTTACTCGAGAATTAAGCATGCCCTGTAATTTACTCCTTAAATTTTTCAAACGAGCTGTTAGAGCATGTTGGTATTTGAGGTAGAGGAAGCTGCCGGAGTCCAGGGCCCAACTAACAACGACTGCAGTGTGGCCTGTGGCTGAACCATGGTCGCACATGTTAGATGTGGCTCACCAGGGAAACTCTTAGAACGAAGTGGATTTCTCAGTACTTGTTGAATATTTTGATGGTATTTCAAGAAGGTTACATCTGCAGTACAATTTTTTTCATTTGAAATAAAGATGATCTCCTCCTAGATGAGTGTTTTACCGTACCGCCACTCATGAAAATACTTACTGCATGATTATTGCCATTTACTGGTCTTGTGTGGGCATACCACAGCTTCATTAATAAAGTCATTTCTTTTCTGCCCGTCTTTAACCAAAACCAATCTCTGTGTAGATCTAGTAACGCTGCTCAACACGGGAATTATGGCAAAACGCTTCAATAATAACGTGGCCCCTGTGCATGGAGCAGGTAAAGGCCTTTTCCTCAATGGTAGAAATGGGAGTGTCTGTGTAAAGTTTTTTTTTTTCTTCCTGGTTAAATATGTCAGGCGTCCCCTTCATGCCATTTAATTTAGTTTTCATAGATTTAAAAAAGACAATAATTTTGAGTCATCCGAATCATTATGTTCCAAAAAATTGTGGGAGAAATCAATATTCGATTGAGCGTGGGTATTATTTTGGACATTGCTTGGAGTTAGGGTTGGGTAGTTGTAATGTTTTCTAAAGCAAGATCTTTTTTGTTACTCTCATAACCTTTTACACCATTCCTTTTGGCTATGACACAAGTTTTATTCAATGGCTCTATTGTTGCGATATTGGCCCTTAACAACACCCCTAGGTACAACTAAACAATGGAAGAGGCAACGATTTGAGCGGCCACTCATACATGTTAAAAGGAGGCTCTAGTTTAACTATATTCAAAAGAAGACGCCTCTAATGTCCAGTTACCCATCACAGTATGAACAAAGCAATTACAAATTTGACCTAATTTGTATAACTCAGGATAATATTCACAAGCCTGCAAATGTAGTTTGGACTCTTCCAGCTAAACAAAAGAAAATGAATGCTATATGTGTATAACCCCATTAGTCAAAATATTGCCTTTGCTGGTACAATAGGTTGAAATATACTTTGATCTTTACTTTCTCTTGTAGTCGCTTGCTGAGACTGAAAGCGCCAAGTTAACAGCAGCAGAGAATGGCTGCAGTGGAAACCGACAAGGAGCTCAACGACTTGCTGGATTTTAGCGCGGTAAGATGTCATTACTTGAATTCAATGTGCGTCCTATACACATATCATCAAGTTATTATATTATTCAAATCAAACAAAAATTCCTAGACCGTTGTCAAGTAGGTTCAAATGTGAATTCATATTGGAGCATCCATGACTCGGCCAGTCGGTCGTTTTTCTTCAGCAATAGTGGGATGCCATTTCTATATTAGACTGTTGCTGATGTGTCACTTGAATGTGAGCAGTCACTCAGTCATAGCTGGAATGTATGGATTGCCTCATGCCAGTTGCTGGCCAATTAAGATGGGATTGTTTCAATTACCACCTAATCAACCTTCACACAAGTAAAGAACAAAGTTTTAGATAGAACACATTTTACAGTTTAATTCCTCTCTCTTTTCAGATGTTTGAGCCTCCAGTTACAAACGGCAAAAACCGTCCAACTACTCTTGCAAGCAGTCAGTTTGGAGGAACAGGTAAGACGACAATTTGATATATATTCTTTTAAAGTCAGTGAAATGTTATGTCAAAGAAATTCCTGTTTCCACTCACCTAAAGCTCTGTAATTGTTTGTAATGCTAACCATTACATTTCCTGAAAGTAAAGCATGGCAGCTTCTTGTCCTCTCACTACTCCACTCGTCATTCATTTGAGGTGTTTTGAATGTTAATAGAAAAGAAAATGGTTCCTGTTCTCAATAATTGCTTTTCAGATAACAAACAAAAACTCAGGGAAATTGACAGTTGGTTTTATCTTATTTATATGAAGCGCGATCTTCTCGGGACTTTCTCTGCCTTGCCTTGCATGTGTCCTTTCCTCACCTCCTCAGCTATTGCCATTCAATCCCTTATGGATAGAGGAATGCCCAATGAATCGCCTCTGCTTACCCTGTGACTAAGGACCTCCCTGTCCTTGTCCTGCAATCTCACACCCTACTTACCCCACTTCACATAACTCCTTTTCACTTGGACCCATGCCTCATTCTCATCAGAAGCCGAGCCCAAGTTATCAGTTTAGAGACTAAGAGCTAACATGCTAGCAGAAGCGCAGTCAGTCTTTCGGTTGGTAATAGAAATGAAACAGGATATTGAAGCTAAGATGAAAGACAAGACAAGCGCCGACAGGGTGGGGTTTAGGGGGCTCTATTTCTTCCATTGACGTGAGGGCCACTTGCATGTTCTTTTGTTAGAGCAAGGTGTGTACTTACAAAAGAGACACATTGATGTTATCAGTCCAACGGCTGCTCATGGCATTCTCCCTCAGGCTTAAAATGATACTACTCCCCAAATCCTTTCCGAACCAAACACTCACCCATAATAGGTGTAAAATGTAAATAGCATAAAATGAATTGGACCATAGAAGCTGTTCTTTGTGACAAAAAAAAACTGCATTTATTTTATAGATGCACATCAAGATTTTTCTTTGAAGTTTTCTCAGTGGATTTTTTGTAAAAAAAAAAAAAAAAAAAAGAATCTTTAGTTCGCTACTTTTCCATTGCTATGAAAAACCATTAGTGTCCTAATTATTACTAATTAAGTTGACCACTTGCTGTCCTTTAGAGATGCCTCTGCTCAGTGGGTCAATGTGCTAATGTTCAACCAAATTGTCATTCTTCAGTTTAAGAAGATAAGCGCCTCAAAAAAACACGTGTGTGTGTTCAACTAAACACCCCTCAGACCCCCCCTCCCCTTTCAAAGCGTGAGTGGAGAACTACGGTGTTCCCCAGTTATGGATATGGACCTTCATTATTTTAGTATATCTTGGAGCTACTCTTATCAATACTGTGCTTTTCAAGATTACTGAATAATGGTTTATTTTATAAACAAATAAAATAAGAAGGGATATTTAGAGTTAACTAAAGCAGCAACTGATATATTTACAACAGCCCCTACAATCACTATATAAAGCGATTCATATCTCACTGGAAACAAATGTACAGTGTCAATTAAAGGTAAGACATTTCGGGGTGAAGTTTATGAAGAAAAACATCTGTCAGTATCATTCTATTTCTCCTGTCCTTTGTTCCAATGGCTGTTTGATCTCAGCCAGCAAGTTTATCCAAAAAGCTTTTGTCCAATCCTGTGCGTTCTGCTTGTGTAACATTTTGCCGGTGGATGAGATTCCAGACAAAGTCAATTGAATTAGGTCCCTCTTTTATTTTACATGCTGTGGTTGTTGTATAGATGTATTTCTGTTTAGTCTATTTACTCGTAAATATTGAATTGCACTTACAGTAACAAGTGCAGTTGCCGTCAACTTAGGTAATATGTGTTATTGCATCTGCTCATTCTTTGTCTGTGTTTTTATCTACGTGCGAGTGTACTTGGAGTAGATCAGCCTGTCAGAGCAATGTGATTTCCAAAACCTGTTCGTAAAAATGTATACGAAAATCTTGAACATACAAATTCGTAACAATACGAACTTGCGGTGGTTAACCACGCCCTTTGAGTGAACAACATTGCGGACCATGTTGGATTCTTGAGTGAACGTCTCTCCGCGATGTTAGATTTTTTGAGGGGGTTAGGGTTAGTATTCTATTCTTACAAGTTAACATTGATTTCTCGTTAAAAATGCAATCATAACACATTTATTTTACATCGTTAGACTTCACGAAGTGTGTTTACGGGGTGCAGGTCCCCATTCACTATGAATAGGGTGACGTCATCAGTTGCAGTCCGTATTTATTTAGTATGTATCACTATGAATTTGTATGTTCAAGATTTTCGTATACATTTTTACGAACAGGTTTTGGAGATCAGGCTGGTCAGAGGGAGCTGGGCAAATGCTGCTGCATCTTGATAACATATGAAGCCGAAACATTAATAAGTACTGATGAAAAGCACCAATAACATTAAGGCCTTTTAATTGCTACAATTTGTGATTATCTAGCACCAGGGCCCGTTTAATTTTGAGTTTTGGAACACACCCACATTCAGATAACGGAACGCTGGGCTGCTGTAGAAACATGGTGGTGCAAGATGGCAGACTGTGGAAGAAAACCAAGATTTCCCTTGGTTGACTACAGCCCTAATGTCTTTGTGAGGGAGCAAATTAGGAATTTGTAAACCTTTCGAGCTTACAGACGGTTAGTGTGTGGCACTCATGTCTGAATTATAACTAAAAGTTGGGGCCAAGAAGAGTTGGCTTTGCTTAGCCATCAAGACCGGAGGCGGTGGTGATTGCCAAGCTGGCCTTTTCCGAAGTTCCAACAACTGCCTACCGTCCTCTCACTTATTCAGTTAGATTACATTTCATTGGTTTATCTGTGTAAATACAGAAATGTAGAAACAACTATTTGTGGTTTTAGGAGTAGTCACATGTTGTAACTGTGGTTTGGTGAATAAGTGCTAGACTCGCTATCTGAAGCCTCAGTGTCAGAGTGAGGTTGCCAGGTTTGGCACGACAAACCCTGTACAGGGACATTTTACAAAAATGTGGGCCTTAAGATCCGTTTCAAGTAACCCTGACTTGGTCTCTGTAGTTCTGCTAATTGTGGAGCAGCTGCAAAGAGGTTATCAATATTAGGGAGGTGTAACTTGTGTGACTGTGGAAAACCTCCTTTTTAAAGCCTTCGGTGATGATCCATTCTCTGCTCTGGTCAAATGCGCTTTGTCGCTAGTCCGTTAGTATTTTAACTGCACTTTCGTTTTTTGGGTGCTAGAAACTGAGAATCCTATAATGTATTTTTAAACTTGGGTAGGGGTGAAATGCAGAAGGGGAAGAGTTTAACATTTGCGGATGCACTGATCCGACACCAATATTAGTGGAATGTGTGCGTCACTGTGTGGAAGGCAACTCAGACTTGACTTAAACATTGCCTTTTCTAACTTTGTAAAACCAAGTACTTAATACATGAATAAATAAATAATAACACAAATACACTCAATTTAAAAACAGCAAGACAATTGTCAAAACACACACAGCAATTTAAATTCAGTATATAATGTATAAAAGCATTGATTAAATTAATTATCCTCATTATCACAGTATCTGATTCAGCTACTTATCACACTATAAGCTCAATAATGGTATTAATCCATTCCTATTTCTGGCTGACATTGCTGTTGAAATGTATAGGATTTTCTAAAGTGCCAGAACTATGATGTTCAAATGTAAGTTCTTTTTTTGTTGGAGGGTTGATGCATACTGTTGTTTGAGAGACGTCACCAGTGAATCACAGGTTAAAACAGTCATGGCTGTGTTATTGTACATTGTTCAGTATTTCATTAACAGTGTTCACTCTCAAGATCTGACCTGACATCATGCTTTGTGTCTGTGTGAATCATTTGGGAAAGGAAGGAAGAAGGTGTGTAGACAAAATGGAACGCTCTGTTTCAGGTGCCTGCGGCACAGTTCATATAAAAGCAAAGGCATGTCTGCAAGTTTGGTCAATGTATGTGCAGGAGTTTTGCTCATGAAGCCTGTGACTCAGGCTGTCTGTCTGTTTCCAGTATCTTTTCCTGTGTAATTAAAGACTAGCCATGCTTAAAGGGGTGTTTCATGCTGGGAGGAGAAGTGCATTGGGGTTCACCAGTGAATCTGTCTGATGTTACTCACCGTTTCCTTCATTTTCCTTTTCCCGGTCCCACTAGACCGTCTGAGAGCCCTACTCATGGTTTTCGAATGCTTTCGGCTCTGCTGGTTTTGCTAATGGATATCGTAAAAATGACACAGGAATCTACAATAAACACATTATAACAGGGAAAAAACTAAAACAACAAAATGTGTTGAATCAAATAAACTCTGCTGGTAATAGTGAGAGGAAGAAAAATCTAACCAGTTCTGTCAAAACCATTGTGCCCGTTCACAAAATGATAACAAATGATGATGATTGGATAATGCTTTCATTATTTTTTTGATGCAAATATTTTTTGATATTCTAAAGACCCAAAATGGAGCTGATGAACGGTTCTGGCAGCGTGTGGAGACACATTCACCCACCCACCTGAACGGGTCATCACTCGAAGCACTTTATCATTACATGTCTCCTTTATACGCTGATGGCGGGCGGGGGCCACCATGCAAGGTGCCACCTGCCCCTCAGAGCCAGCCAACATTCATAGGAACAGCATATCGTATATGTGCCCGAGGACACGTTGACATGCACTAGCGGAGCCGATCCTCTTATTGGTGGGCTACTCGCTCCAACGCCAAACCACAGTGGCCCTGAAACGATGTGACAAGGGTCACACAAGCAAGGCTCAAGAAAACAACTAAAAAAGGACCAGGCAAGTCAAAACAAGTTAACTATACCCTTTTCATATGAATACTTTGCTGGCAGTTACTGGTTTCAACCTATCTTATCTCTAGTCAACTGAACGTGCGTCCACCGATCGCTGGATGCGGCCAAACTGCAGCAAGGTTTATTTCTTACCTTAAACTTCACTAAAACAACAACACAGTTCTTTAGGTTGGTAGCTCTGAATTGGTTCTTAATTAAGACCAAAATATATTGTTGATTTCAACAGTGTGTCAGGTAGTCACTCACACAGTAACATCACCCAGGGCTCCGGACTAACAGTGCTACCAACGTTGGTCGCACCAGCATTCAATTACATCCAGTTTTTTTGTAAAACTAAAGCTAATAGTGGAGCTCATTGAGTAAAGTGCATTTACTAAATTACTTTTTTCTTCAGTACAATTGTGATGCTACTTTTTACTTAACTACATTTCTTTATGAGTAATTAAAATGCAATACAGTGTTTCCCCTGGGCTTACAATATTTGGGGTGGAGGGGAGACTGTGTATGTGGAAATGTGCGTACACATAATAATAATCTAATACATTATATAATAATATGACATAAACAACTAAAGAGCCCGGTTTGGCTCCACAGTAAAAGGTTTTACTTTATTGCACTTACGGTGCTAATGGGTTTCTATTGTCTCAACATGGCGATGCAGTTCCTGCACCTCACAGCTAAAATTGCTAACAGTGCAGACAGCCTAGTGCTGACAGAGCTAACAGTGTTGAGCTGAGGGGGAACTTAATGGCGGGGGGTACACTTCTGCAATGGCGCTGTCGGGCGCAACAGCATCATCAGCTGCAACCGCCGTGTGAGCACGGACACTAAAAGGCACGTGTGGGCCCTCCGGGCTATGTAAACATAACGTAGAGAAGCTCGGATTACAACACCGCGGGAAAGTTACTTAATACTCTGCTCCGGTATCATGCGATACTGCACTATGTCTTAACATAGACAATAGTTTATTGCTGCTGTATCGAAGCCCTGAATGTCATCTAGAGAACTGTAAACTACATAATCTATCTACATATGCTTTGATAATTTAAGATTTTAGACTTGCAACTGGTGGGTATAAAATAAAATAAATCAGTGACCCTGAGTCTCTCCCTGCATCATCATCATCAGTGCCGATGAAGTCAGGGTTTCCCTCCCTCCAACAGTCTCATTCTCTTTCTCTCTATAGTTTTCATAAGCATATACGTGTGTTTGCATGCTATTTCTATTGTTTTACTTCTGTGGTTCATTGCACAATAGATTTGTGTATAGAGATGCGTGATTATTATTCCTGCATATTAATGAAAACACACAACACAAAGACTCTTTAACAACAAAGATAGAACCCCCCCCCCATATACATTTTTGGTGTAAAATCTCATTAGATAGAATTGACAGGAGTGAAAATTAATCATTAAATCATAGTTCAATCATTTTTCTTCACCTGCTTAAAATGAATTAGTTGATTAGAAAGAATGATGCTAATGACTCAGTTTATCTTATTTCTTCTCTCCTTTATCCCATGATTTTATTCCTTCATGTGTGAATATTAACAGTCATCCTGCTATTATTTCTCACTCGACCTATTGATTAAATTACATTCAATCCCAAATGTATGTTTCACCTCGAAGGCTTTGAAAATGGTATTCTTATAGGAGGGGGAATGTGTGTTAGTTTTCTACAAAGTGCTATATGCACCCTGCTATTTGTGGAATGAAAGGTGACAGTTTTTTCTAGTTCCTTACAATCATCAGTTCCTCTTCAGGGAGTGAAAATGCCTTGATAAATAGCGTTTCATCCTTTTTTCCCCCTCATACTGTACTGATATCGTACTTGGTTCTGAAATCATGGTAATAATGTAGTTGTGTGGAAGATCAAATGTTTCCCCAGAAATTAAAATTTCAATTTCAATTTTCATCAAAATACTGCACCTTTTGGGTAGTGATAACAAACCGAACACTAAACATTGCATTGGATGCTTTTCTCGTCTGGAGCTTTGCTTCGGCGGAAAATAATGGTTTGTACATGTTCTTTAACGTTGTTGATTGACATGCAGAGTGACAGTCAGCCATAGAGAGGGGCAAGACCGTGTCTCCTCCATCTCTTATTCTGCTGGTGTCGTGCGTATAGATCAGAGTTGTCACGGCAATCTAGCTGCTCTGAGCACTGTGGACCCATCAGTCTGTTCTACTGCTGATCCTGTCATGATTCTAGCCGTCCTTTACTCCCTCCCCTCTCCTGTCTCCCGTTTTTAATTAGATAACAAAACAAAAATATGAATATTCATAGGACTGAGCTTCATTAATATGCACAATTATGCAAATCACTACGCAATTAAGCTTCAGCTTTCCCCCTGAGATGCTGTGCTGCAGTACTAGAGGAGATTGAGAGGAAGGGGACGGGCAGGAATTTCTGCTTCACCAATCTTTAAAATCACCTCTTTTTAAACGCGTTTACTTTTCTGCAAGCAGTAGCGCTTGTGTCCAGTCATAACATGTGTCAACTATGTACGATTGAGACCTTGAACATGCGTCCTGTATTAAGACAATGGTGTTGCGGGGCGAATGAGTGTTGCCGTGGAAAATGTAAAGCATCAGAGTGGGAGAATGAAGAATGTCGAGGATGATTCTGAGAACCTCATACTGGGTGTTAATTATTCAAACTTCCTGCAGCTCATATCCACGCTATGTGACAGCGCTGTCACTATGCCGTCTCTGTGTGAGCTGTGAAGTGAAGCTCTTCAATTGAGGTTACTTTGAGCATTCTGAAACAACTGAATAAAAGCAGGTCATCATCATTCTCTGAAGTCAAACTTAGTTTTACAAAGCCTAAATCCTTTGTTAAGAATTGGTGCCCTTTTGTGGGTAAATGGGTCTAACCCAGTTCTTTGTCTTACAGGTATGGATGACAGGAGTGGGTCCGGTCCCTGGGGGCCAGGAGAACAGAACAGTCCAGCTTTCAACCAGGGAAGGGTAAGTTTAATCAGACCGTGTAGATAGATATCATGCTTTCGAGGGAAACACAACATTTGAGGAGTTAACTAATTAAGATATATTACACACATGGGGAGACATTTGACTTGTGATCTATGAACATATTCACACTGAATCATAAAATAATGGTTCATCACACATCAGACAATATTATGAATCTCTTAACAACTTTAATTATACCGTTCAGATTCCTACTAGTATGAAACAATTTTCCATTTTTGGAACCGCACTACAGAAGAGCTATGATCTCATCTCCAAACTAATCACATTAGCAGATATTCTGAGCTTACCATTGGTACCAACAGTGTTCATTTTCATCTCATATATCTACAACTGATTGGGTATCTTGGGAAGATTAGACGTTATGGACGGTTCAGATCCTACTGTATTGCTTTATTTTTGGATACCTAACAGACCGTCCTGCCAAAACAATCTACAATTAACATTGTGTCAGACTGGTTTTAAAAGTAGATATGGTTCACAGTCTAGGAGCCAAGTTACACAAACATTCTGGACATATTCACATAAACACACAACAGTTTATTTGGGCCATTCATTTCGTTGTATCTATTTTTATATTCCTAATGCTCTGTTGTCTTTCCCACAGGGTTATGCAGAACAAGGCCTTTACAGTGAGCAAGAGGGCATTGCCTCTGCCCCCATGTATGGATCGGGGATTGTTGGTAAGGTTTAAATTGAACTAAGCCGCTGAAGCATAGAAACCAACACTTTCACGTAGTCTTTGTTTTACACCAAGAGAATGTGGGGCCTGTGTTTTTAATAGTAGGACTTAATAAGAGAAGAACATGCTATGTGAAATGCACAAGTTTGTATCAATGGACGGAGTGACTGAACCAATACAATGAGTTCTTTGTTTGAGAGGCAGCCGTTCCTAGGTTAGACACTAATGTACCACTTTAGTGCAAGCCATATTTATGCTTAGGTGGCAGTGGATGAAGGGAGCGGAGTAATCAGGGGGGATGTGGAGGAGGGTTCTTTTCGTGTGTTGTTGTTGCAGTTTGTGTGTTCAGGGCGGGAGGGAGTGTGGGGGGTAAAGGGCACCCATGCACAAACAAAGCTGTCCCTTGGGACTATGGTAGCCTATAGCTCCCCTCTGTTTAACTGTCAGGGGAGGGGACAGAGGTTTGGCACAATTGCCCCTCAACCATTTATAATGGGCCAATTTGTTGTTGTTTCGTTGTCCACAGCCATAAATACCACACATCATCATAATGCACTCACACAGCAGATGGGGAGCACCCAAATGGAGAAAGGGGAATGACCAGATTGAGATTTAATACAGACATAAAAAATAAATATTCACAATCATGACCTTATTTTATATGCTGTTCTCCCAACAGGGAAGGCTGAGCGAGGACCATACTCGTCATTTGCTGCACAGGTAATCCAGTCAGACGCATCCAGCCCTCTCTCCTCATGCTCTTTAAGGGAAACTGTCGCTTAGTCAGTTTTCTCCTCTTGTATTCTTTTGAATGTACTGCCACAATGTTTGGCTTTACCTTGTACTCAAGCTTGTACTTTTTTTTGCACCATCTCCAGCCGGGCTTTATGCCCAATGAGATGCCCATGCCCAGTCCTGATGCCCTCTCCCCCTCTGGCCTGAAGACCAACTCTCAGTTTTATTCCTCCTATGAGGGAAGCAACGCTCGCAGGAGACCCTCGCAGGAGCCCATTGGTAAGATTAGTTAGGGATGGTTTCAAGCGCAGTTTTGAACCTACTCATAAAATATCTCTTCGGAAAAAGTGTCATTTGTTCAGATACACATTTATAGTTCTGGGTACAGCATCACTTCCCCCTGCTGAGGTTTTCTGAAGTGTGTGAGAAATCTCACTTCTGCTTAGTTAGAAAGTGAAATCACTGAGTTCTCAATAAGGAAAGTTATTTAATAACATCAGACTGGAATACCTTTTGCATTATTGAATGTATCCCTACATTGGTGGTTATGACGTGACTTAAGCATCCACACAAACACACAAGTTTAACTTCTTCCTCTCCTCAGGACCACAACCCAAAAAGATCAGGAAGGTGCCCCCTGGCCTGCCCTCCTCGGTGAGTAGTATCATCAAGAAACATGGCCGGGAAGTATATCTTGGTGCATAGGAGCTCATGTTGTTCTGTTTTACGCCCCGTTTCACATACTATTCAGTATCTCGAGCCTCTTCTTGGCTTGCGATGCGGGAGAATAGCTGCCGTACAGGACAACACTGAAATGGTAGAAGGAGGGGAAAACCAACTCACTAATCCAGTCACTTATTTGCAGCATGTATTTATAGTGTGTTGCTTACTTTATGGCCACCGTGGATCATTGAAGCGAATGTATACGGGGCTTCTTACTCCACCTCATTTTTTCCCTCCCTCCCACTCTCTCTCTCTCTCTCTCTCTCTCTGGACACTCTTTTTTTCCTGTTTCTTCGTTACCCCCTCCCCCTTCCTCTCTGCCCCACATCCCCCTCCCCTCGGCTCCCTCTCAGTCCCTCCGCCTCCCTCCCCTTTCTTTCTCTCTCCCTCCCCCATCCCTCTTTCCCAGCTGCCAGTGGAGTTGGCTGCCATCCAGCATTCGGCAGATGGTTCAGTAATTAGGAGTGCATCTCTTCGTTCCCTCTTCTCCTCTCCCTCTTTTTTTCTCTCCTTTTCTCTCTGTTTAATCAAATTACAGAAGAAAACTTCAGTCCATTTTGATTTGAGTATTGCAGATGCAGTTTGATACTTGTTTTTCGTCTAGAATAGTCTTGATTGAGAATTTTATTGTGGTACAGAGCATTGGTTCCTTAGTGTCCATTATATCAAAATGCATCTCCCATGGTGTGGACTCATCTCACTGGCTTAAAGAGAGTGATTGATGTATCTTTAAACCATCCTCATGTGTTTCTGTTCAACATAATAAAATGTACAAGCAATACAGAGATGACATACACTGCATATTTGATACAGAATGCTCAGTGCTGCAGAATGTGGAAATGTTGCAACGACCTGGTTATTGAATTAAGTAGTAAAACCAGACCATAAAAATAGATTCTGGCCTATTAAGGAACACATACTTTTAAGGGCTGGGTTTAATTATTTATTTAGTGCTTCTACTTTCTTTTTTTTGAAAACTCAGGTGCTGATACTATTTTATGGGGAGATAAATTTTTTGTCATTCTCCTAAATACAAAGGACAATAGAAGCTCTTAGGGAACCTTTTGTATAACTATCTTAAAAGTAATATGCCATGTATAATATAGACTGCATGTCGAGTTACACCATATAGTTTGCTAATTGTGTTGTAGGGATTTGTGGCAAGTTTATGAGCACCGAGCTGAACAGACTTCTGTTGTTCTTCTGTGTATCTCTTGTAGGTTTATGCATCTGCCTCAGGAGAAGATTTTAACAGGGATAACGCTGGCTACCCGGTCTCCAAGGCAGGAAACGTCTTCACACCGTCATTCTATGTGCAAGGTCAGTCAATAGAAGACTTGCCTTCAGAGCCTCCCCTTGTTCATTGTGTTGGGTTGAAAAGTTCAGTCTGACTGAGACACTTTCTATTAATCAGCGTAAATGTATCAGACCCTTACAAAGACAATAGAAAGCCTTCATTGTCAGTATGGTTGGATAATTAGGCCCAGGCAATATCTTTATCCTAAGTCAGGATGTACAAACGTACTGTAGCCACATGCCAGTGAGCACCCTATGGTGCACAGGTGTTGAATAGTGCATTACAGTTGAATGAAGCCATCACGATAATGTGACATGTCTCATATGTGGCCTTTATTGTCTTCTCATCTCTTGTGGCTGGTTATACTTCGCCCCCCCCTCCCCCGCTGGATGCCCCTTTACAGAAGGCCTCCACCCGCCCTCTGATCCATGGGGCTCTGCCAGGTCGATGGTTCAGCCTGGTTATTCTGCCATGCTGGGCAACTCCCCCCATCTGAGCCAGCATGCTCCCTTCACTGCGATCAACCCCCAAGACAGACTGGTGAGTTGTGCCTTCTCGCTTTGGTCTTGTTTTTCTAACAAGCCATAACAAGGTCTTTTGACCCTTTTTGTCGGATGCATCATTGATGGCTTCTGTATGGTTATTTAATTATGTTTGTCTCTTTGCTTCTCAGAAACGGCAGCCACTGCCCCTCTCCCCCCAGAACTACCCCATGCACGGCAGTGAGGTGAACGGAACTCATCCCTCCGGCTTCCACTCTGGCCCCAGCAGCTTCGGGGTGCCCAGCCACACACCCCCTATGGCTGACCCTATTATGGGTAAACCCTTTAATGCATGCTATCCTCTGTGTGTTTATGTTTTCATGCAACATTGTTAACATTGCAGAATGTTTATTGAGCATTCAATACAATTTGAAATACTTTTTTGTTTCATAAAAGCCAATCGAGGAGCAGTACCGGGGAGTTCAGGTGATGAGATTGGAAAAGCCCTGGCATCTGTAAGTAATAACAGATTCACTTTAATACTTAATGTTGTATATTATTATATTCCTATAACATAATAAATATACAGGAATATGCTGCATGTGAATTAATTGAGAACAAATTCTTCCTCTATCCAGATCTATCCCTCAGACCCACACAGTAACACCTTCCCTCCATCTCCGTCTACTCCCTCCGGCTCTCCCCAGGCGGTTTCAGGTGAGGAAACGGCTCTAGTCCTATTTTCCTGAGATGTTTTAATGAATCAATACAGTGTCCTTCCTGTTGTGTACGTGGATAAGACCTTTAAATTATTGTCATTCTAACTAAGCCTGAATGGTTCTTAACAATGTGACAATGCAGCTCCATCTATTGGGTTCACGGTGGAAGTAAAACGTTATGTCAAAGGTTTTTATTTCGGTGTATTGAGGTATCTTTGCATATGCCATTACAATTTAAACAATATTGTCGGTAAAATATATTTAAAATGCATCTTGCCATCAGTTAGACTCAGTCAACACTCTTTTACAATTTCTAATTTACGTTTTAAGCAATGACTTCGCGCGCGCGCACACACACACACACACACACACACACACACAGGAAATCATTTATAAACAAAAAGTTCTCCACAGCATTCAAATAAGTAAGAATTAGGAAGCCAGCATAGTTAGGGTTTGGATTAGGGATTGCCTTTACATTTAGGTCATCTGGTTTTGCAGTATGATAGATGAATAAACGTCTAATGTATCCACTGAAATCCTTTCTACATGAAAAGATACTTATGTAATGTCCATATTTTTATTGATGATGATGTTGATGGGTTAAACGCAAAAGTTATTTTTCAAGGTAATACCTGCGTGTATTAGATAAATAAACATAGTTGTAGTTATAATTGTTGTGATTTTCGGGTTTGTGTTTTAGCCTTTACCAAACTGCATCATTTACACTTTTTTTTTTTGTGCAACATAAAAATTGCAAAAAATGCAATATCCGTTTTTTAGATAAACATAGTAACCTCAAACATATACAATATAAACAATACTATTTGGATGCATTTCTCAAAACCATATGATCTTTTTTTTCTAGGCTCTGCATCACAGTGGACTCGATCCTCTGGCCAGGCCACGCCTTCACCAAACTTTGAGGGTGGAATTCAATCCATGGTTAGTTAATGTCTCGTATTTTATGTCTTTAATGTAAGGACAAATTTTTAGAGTAAATTACAGAGCAAAATACAGAATGCCACATTTATTCATGCATGGCCTTCTGCTGTCTCATCGTATTCCCCAGCCTAGTAAAATGGAGGACCGTCTGGACGAAGCCATCAATGTTCTACAGCGTCATGCCAGCGGGCAAGGAGTGCCAGGCCTGGCTGAGATGCACAATCTGCTCTCGTCTGGCTTAGGGTTACCTCCAGCTTTCACCAGTGCAGCACTTGGATTGGCCAGTCGCCTGCCCGGACTGGTGAGATTATTTCAAAAGCACTACAGAAAATCAAGCCACAAATGACTAGATTAAGTATGACCGTTCAATTTAAAGTGACGGTATTTTGTGAGAGCGTTTAGTCGCTTTTTTAGTCGCTTAGCTTAGTCGCTTTTATGCTAGTACTAAACGATTCTTGCAAGGTCATTGAAATACTGTTTAATTGTCGTCCTGAAGATGTCTGGTCACCACGAGGAGTCTGCTGGTCTGCCCTCTAGTGGGGGACTTATGCATGGTCACCATGGCCCCAACTCTGTCCAACCAGGCTCTCAGCCTGAAGGTTTTACAGGTGATTCTATCTGTGGTTTTCTAGTATTACAGCATCAGTACTGTGCTGTCATTGGAGGTTAATTCATATTTGCTAGTTCTATATGCTATCTTATTTGGTATCCTTGTTTCTGAACCCCCGGTACAGGCCTGTCTGGTAGCCTGAAGCGCTCCAGTGGTTCTGATATCAAACGAGAGGACAAGGAGGACGATGAAAACTGCTCCATCACCGACAGGTCAGAGGATGAGAAAAAAGACATGAAGGCCCGACTTGGAACAAGGTGTCTAAAACCTTTTTTTCTACACAAGATTTATACTCTTTTATCACTGCATGAGATTTCATGGCATATAATGCCGCTGTGGTTCAAGTATAATATGTGTCAAGAAAATGGTCTTTCAACCTTTCTAGACAGGATTCTTTATAGTCATTCATTTAATTTAACAAAAAAGGAGCTAGTGATTTTGAAAGATCTGCAGTTGTGCCCTGGTCTTCTCTTGTACGATAAGGGAGACTGAGTAGTTATGTCAACATGTATATTCCTGGTTCAACATTGGCTGTTAAAAGGTTACAGTGTAAATGGAGGATTGAAGAGGAAACCATATTATATGTTATATATTATAACCAATAGAGACCAAACATCTGAATCACATCCAAGAACAGTTGTGGCAGAGTAAATACTTAACCCCCTTTTAAAATCTGACATCCTTAAAGGCACTACAGCATTTGAATCAAACATAAAGGTTAATGAACACAAAATACCCATCTAGTGCAATTTAAACAATGTAAACTTTATGCAATGGAACTTCAACGTGAAAGTAATTCAATCACAATCGTAAACACTGCTACAGTCTTCAATCCCATTACTTACGTTGTTAATGAAGTTTACTTGTGTTTGGTGTTTGTTGTTGTTGATTCGGGTTCAGGTGCTTTGCTGTAGTTTAGACATCGCATCGCACGCAACCATTTCTCTCACAGTAGAGTAGTTAACCTTCATGGTTCGTCGGATGTGGTGGTAACCTTTAGTCCCTCGAGGGCTCCATTGCCCCTGCCACCACGTGGCCAAACCCTAATGTTATCTACCTTCTTCTAGCAGTGTTTGTAATTGTTATGAAATTACTTTGGCGTTTTATCCCTACATGTGGCTTTGACGTTCCTAGAAAAATATATTTTTCACCCCATAATTGGGAAATTCTTATCAGTGAACTGTACACATACTTTTGTTTCACTCCCGCCTCATCTGCCGTTGGCCCTTTGCTAGTCTGGATGATGAGGAGGACGATGAAGATCTACCAGTGGAGGTTAAGGCTGAGCGGGAGAAAGTGAGGAGGATGGCAAACAACACCCGTGAACGACTACGTGTGCGGGACATCAACGAGGCTTTTAAGGAGCTGGGCCGCATGTGTCAGCTCCATCTGAGCCACGAGAAACCGCAGACCAAATTGATCGTACTGCAACAGGCCGTTAACGTTATACTCAACCTGGAGCAGCAAGTCCGAGGTCAGTGGGTGTCCAGGGAGGAAGGAAGAGGAGGGGAAGGGCCTCTCTACAAAATAAAACTCCCACACGGCTTCACTTCCCAGCTCCTTTATGTCCTTCTAGATCTTTTCCTACATTGCTTGTAGTACCTAACTTGACTCCACTTGTTGTGGTAAAAACATTGGGCCTCATTCACTTATACATGCTAGGAAATATTCTTGACTGGCACAACATAAGTGGACAGGTAAAAGTCAGATTAATAACCCACGCAAAAATTGACAAGCGGCATCAGCATACTGCCACATGCAAAGTTCTCTAAATGAGGTATATGTTAAGCCCAAGGATTATCATGGAGAAAAGCAATGCCGTTTTAAAAGTGAGCAGCACAGCCTTACTTACTACTAGTTTACGCTACTTACCACATTTGAGTCACATCTGTGCTCAGTGTTCCCTCAAGGGTGACGTGGATTAGAAAATAAAAATACGTTAGAATGTGGTGTGGCTCCAGTAAAAAAGAAAGAAAAACAAGAGCGATCAATCTGGCAACAATACAACAGCCACATGACTTACAATTGTATAATCACAATAACAACAGATCATATTCATCTCTTTGTGTGATGGAGTCATAAAATTTGACAACCAATCTCTAAACCTTCATTCTTAAACGCAAATGAGGCTTAAAAACACACAATACACAAAGGGCTTTAAACAAGTCTGTTAGAACCTTTTTATTTATGAATGCGGTGTTGGTGTGTGATGTAGACAGCCGGACAGGCCTTCATCGTTGTTGCTTGCTCATGAGCCAAGGCAGGTTTAACCTCGTCTGCGGAGGAAGAACAAGTAGGACGTTAATACGCATGTTTTAAACACAGAATGAGGTCCATCGTCCTTGCTTAATACCAGTGAGTCAAACCACATTTTTGGTCCATCCTAAAGCATATCATAAAAGGGAGGGGCTTAGATTAAGGAAAATAAGCTGTGTGACTGTTTTTTTTTTTTTTAGACATGCCCATTCTCCTGTTCATCTTCTAAGGTTTTCGTCCACTGGCAACACATACAGGACCACTGCTTGTCCTGATGCAGTATGTGTTGCCTCGTCTCATAATTGGCCGTCTGTCTCCACTGTGAAGATGCTTAAATGTTTCTCCGCTTTACCCTTTAACAGTATTAACACATCTTTCTGTGCTCATTTGCTTTTTTTCACTGTTTCTTCATTGAGCCAATTCATAGTTTCTGGTTATTTCAGCTTTATGATAAAAAAAAAAAAAAACACCTCATAAGGTCCCTGTCTGTCTCTGGCACCCTGGTTAGCATGGACGCAGGGCGTAGTCTGTATTAACCAGTCTTCAGCTTCATCACAGTTCCTGTCTCTGTGCTGCATGTCACAGCCTTTATAGCAGTAAACCCCTTTTTTGCCATCCTGTATTGGGGACAACCCTTTTTTTTATTGCTTCATTCGCTCCCCTATCGTTGATTTTCTTTTTACAGATGTCAGCAGGGACCTCCTCTTCCTCACATTCAGATAAATACATCTACTGCTGATGTATTTAACATGATGCCCTCAGTCTCTCTTCTTTGTGTCTCTCCTGTGTGGCTATTTCTATGTTGGCAGAGGGTGTTGCTTCCTCTCTCCCCTTCTCTCTCCCTCATAACTTTCATTCCTCTGGACAGTCACCAAATCCCCTCAACTTCCATCCTGGACCCCAAAGACCAAATTAAAATGTTGGTTGGTTAGATTTTAGGACAGATTAATTAGACATGTTCTCTCAGGTCGACTGTTGTAAATTTGGCTTGAGATTATTTATTGTCGCACTTGCTCAACCCACAAAACTTGAATTTCGGACGGATTGACATTACGTTCATTCATGTTTATAAAGCTGTATAATTTAATATCTGTAGATCTACGGAATTTTTTTCCCACCCTCCGCACCTCTCCTGCAACACAGCCGTACTCGACTGGGATCTTCTTCTGCAATTCCACTGGTCTCATCTTGGGTGAAAAGCTTGAAATTAGCACCAGACATAGACATGCCAAAAACAAATATATATATGTATATAGATATAAACAAAATATTTATATATATATATATATATATATATATATATATTGGTGCAATTAAAAAAATTAAGTGATACGATGCTTAAGACTATAACTGCAGTTAAAGGGAGAACGTCTGGCCCAGGTTCAGCCAGGGCTGTGATTTGGGTTTGTTAACCAGCCCCTCCAACCCCCACTTCTCCTCCTGGCTGCAGTGTTGTTTCGGTGGCCGATGAAAACCTGACTGCCGAGGAGAAGGAGCAGAGGGAGCGTGAGCGCCGCCACGCTAACAACACTAGGGAGAGGGTGCGCGTGCGCGACATTAACGAAGCCTTCAGAGAGCTGGGCAGGATGTGTCAGGTCCACCTGCAGAGTGACAAGGCCCAGACCAAGCTTATCATCCTGCAGCAGGCTGTCCAGGTCATAATGGGCCTGGAGAAGCAGGTGCGAGGTAGGTCAGCCAATAGAGGAAGGTCTGATCTACATAGACAACCAACCATCTCTTACCACAGTTGCCAGTCATTCACCCGTCAGAAAATCTCCTCTTTAATTTTGATCTAGCTTACTGTGTGGCATTCACTTTGGCTTTCTCCTTTCTATTTGCTCGCATCACTTTGGAAAAATTAAGAAAAACAGAGAAAAAAGGGAGAATATTTGAGGAAGCATATCCCTCCTTTTCTGCCAAACGTCTGCAATTCTTGTCTTTCCTTTTCCCCTTTTCTGTTCTTCCCTGTCTGTTGTCGACCTGGTTGTTTCTTCCAAACTGCTGCTTTAATGTCTTCAAAGATTTCCATGGGAAAAGCAAAATAATCTCAAGAATTCCTATTCCTCCGCCCATACCGTTTTTTAATTAATGTGTTGGTCCTTTTTTCAAAGAGCGTAATTTAAACCCAAAGGCCGCCTGCCTCAAGAGGAGAGAGGAGGAAAAGGTTTCAGGCGTTGACCCTCAGATGCAGCTCGGTGGGGGTCACCCTGGTCTTGGAGATGGACATATGTGATTCTCAGGTCAGTTCACAGATTGTGTGTTGTGAGGTTTCTTCTGTCTTTCCTCCACAATAATATAATGAACAATAGCTTGTTTTGTATGACGGAAAAGAAAAAAAAATGTTCATTCTTTTTTTCTTCTTTCCCTTCCAGTTCCTGTTGATTGTACAGCCCTTAGAACACGTGGCCTTAATCTATCATTGTCATGCATCTCAGTGTGTGTTAATCAACTTTTGGAAAGCACACACGCACACACCTCATTACTGACAAAGCAGGTGGCCACATTCCTGACTATGAATACAAAAGTAACAAGCACACTCTTAACAGGAAGAGGGAAAATGTATTAATCTTAACAAGACAACACTTTGAACCGAGGACACCGGTTTGGAGACAGTGGAAATTGGACATAAGGACATTCTTATGATCATGTTTTTGTAAGACATTTTGAAAAATTGCTTTACATGTTGGGAGCAAAACTTGTTTGGATCAAATGAAACGTTTTGGATCAACTGCTTGTGTAAGCAGAGTTAGGATTTGTATCGTTGGATGATTATTGGCATTCCCATCTGAAAAGCAGGTCTTACATTCTTCACAGGCAAAGAGGGACACCCGGGTTTATATATTATGATTAAACAAAACCTGTTCAAACATGTGCCCAAAGGAGTCCTAATGCATAGTGTTTCATCAAGATAAAATATCCATCGTTATTATCTTCTTACGTAATGACTGAATTGCAGAGGTAGGTTGGGAAACATAAGAGCGCCGACCTCTTTCTTTGTGGTATTTTCTTTTCTTTTATTTCTTGGTTTGGCTGAAAAGGAGCCACAGTCACCGACTTGGCGTCGGCTTATTTTTGGTTCGTTTATAACTGAGGGGACTGCTGGAGAGAGACCCTCCACTCACGCATACAAGCAAAGACTCGACCCGAATCCAAGAACCACAGCGACGTAGAATCCGACGTGCATGTGAGGACAGGTTGGACTCGAGCGCATGGATGTCGTTGTCACTGCCCAGCATCACGAAGCCGCTCGCTCTCAGCCACGTGGTCAGACTGTGTCGCTTCATACCTAAAGACTCTGTTACAGTACGGTGAACTTAATAAACTAAAGTCTCCGTGCGATTTGTATTACGGCAAATCCCCTTTTGCTAGAAGACAGAAATAATTGAGCATCAAAAGGGATCACGAGTGTTCCTGCTTCCCCGTAGAGAATTCACTCACCATTGACGGACTTGTTTTGGTTGTTGCTGTGTTGAGCATTTGGTGTTTTGTTTTCCCCCCCTTTTTGAACAACTGCAAAGCCGGATTTAAGGCTCTTCCTTTTGTAGAATTGATTTATCATTGTTTTTTTATTGTCTTTTTTTTTTACTTTGTAAGATAGTTGTATGAGTTTTGTTTTTATCATTTGGAATGCTCTTTCTTTTTTTGTTTACATTGTTTAAATGTAAGATGTAAGACAACTCTCAATTTAGATTCCAGGAACAAAGTGAGGTGTTTTCTTTTGTGCCAGGTGCTTAGAAATGTTAGAAATGACAAACTTATCTGGCTGTAACATCACATGTTGTGATATTGCTCTTTTTCTTTATTGCATGTTTGAAAACAAACAAACCTGTCATGCCAGTTGTAATTGGATTGTTCTGGTGTTTGCAACAGTTCTTCTTAAATGAAACACAATATTTTTCTTCAGCACCCCCCCTCCCAGTCCCCCTCTGCCCTCCTTGGATGTGCAGCTCTCTGAGGAGCTTGTGGATGAGTTCGAGGAAGGGGCAGAGTGGGAGGTCTGCACAATCTGCAACACAATTCACTGTTTCATTATGAAATGAAGCATAAAATGAATCAAAAAGGGTGGCCTTAGTCATTTTCCTGACTTTGGGAGTTTTGATAATGGTTACTCACCAGTGCCTGAATAATTCTCTGCTACATGGTGGACGATGTTGCATTTGATGATTTATATAGGTTGTACCTTTTTATAATACAGATGTATAAAACGTATATACTTCAGTAACATCTGACAGTGTCTCAGAACATCTATATGAAGAATCACACTGCTTCAGTGTCTGTGTCATTAAATGTAAGATGACTAATAACCCGGTCTTCAACTTTGACGCTGAAAACTACTTAATATGTTTCATCTTTTATGTACTGATTTTGTTAAGTATAATTTTGTCCTTGACTGGCATGTGCATTGATATGTATGTACAGCTGTGATATATCGGCTTTATCATTATAAGCTGGTACTGATCTGTAACAGTATTTGGTTTTCTACCTGTCATTCTATCCCAAATCTTTCCCCACGGAAATGCCCCAAACATTATTTTCTTTGTCAATCCCACTCTAACCTTTCTGCAGAAAAAATGTGGTGTTGTTGTGATATGAAAAATCTCTACTAAAGACTTTCTTTACATGAAAGACACGTCTGCAGTATCCAAGGATCAAAAATGCACCTGAAATTCTTTGTTAACCGCCCTTTTGCCCTCTACAACAGATGACCTGCTACAAATCTCTCTGTCTTCACTCATGTTTGGGGACAACATCTATGTAGGCTATGTCCTCAAAGTGCCTCCAGTTTCCTATTTTTTATATATAAAGTAGATATAGAGAACTGTTGTGTATATAACAGTAATGTAGCAATAAATGTGCCATTTTTAATAACAAACACCATGCTTATCCAATGTCTGTTTTTTTCCCTAACTCATGGATAAAAATAGAGATTTTTTCTTTCTACAATGCAACAAGAGGACTTTACCACAAAGCAACATACCCAGGATTTATTTTGGTTATGTGCCTTAACTAACCCAACAACTTAAATTAATGTGTTGCCAAAGCAACAATATTTTAGACATATTCCTTCAGCTGCAACCCCGAGAGTGAGAAGTAGACTTGGGACCAAATCAAAAATAATGTTTAAACATAATTTTTCCATTAAACAAAATATATACAGTTAACCAGCAAAGGGACACTGCATCCACAATTTGTAAATGTCAGCTGGGTCAAAATGCCGATCCAATGCTGATATTTTTCTCTAGATGATGCAGTGAGATTATACATCTGTTCATTTAAACATTTTGTCAGTCACGTGCGCCTGTTTAAACATTGCTTTCTGCTTTATGACTTTAATTTTCTGCGGAATTGTCTAATGGTAATTTAATCTCAACGTAACGCACTTCAATTGGTCAGTAGGCGGTAATTCTATTTGTATAAATTGATAACCTCTTCCGGAGCAGATTGGGAGCTCACTAAACGTTGCCATGGTGATATATTCCGGTCGGAAGTGAACTGAAGCCCCGGAACGAATCCGTGTGTGTCTTTGGATGGCGGAGCAACAGCGTGATTTGCTCGCTACGTGGCGGAAGTGAGCTGCACTCAAAACTCCCACTGGTTTCAGATTACACCGCACTCGGTAGAAAACAGAACCTTGCCAACACATCGGAACTGTTCTCGTCGAATAATATCCGATTTTGTTTTTGCAAATCAATATATATTAGTTTGATAAGTGATGCGTTTTTAAATAAGCACCTATAGCAAAATCTCAACCGAAATAAAGTTGTAACAAATGTTTTTTTTTAAAGGACTCTAAATGGGAGACAATTTCGTCATTAGGTCCAGAAAAAAAATCTGCGTTATCTATGTTTTGTTATTGTGACATTTGTTTCATGAGTAACCGGAAGTAGTCAACGCACATGCGCACGAGTCGCCTTCACCACACCGGAAGTTCTCTTACTGCTTTTAAAGCGGCGCATCCTGCGTTTTGTGGAGGACACAATTCAGCCGAAATGATCAGTAAAGTGGTTGGTGCGAAGTATGTGGCCATTGCCAAATCATGGTATGTTTTGTATATATTTTACTAGTAAAACTTTATAAGACAACAGTATATCGGTGTGTCCTTAGCTAACATTAACGTTAGCTGTTAGCTTAGCTGAGGTCATTGCTTTGGGGACATGCTATACTTTATCTCCTCTCACTTAAACTCTGGAATTGCTACAATTTGCCTACAATTATTGTTATAACTAAGTAACCAAGTCAACGTTACCGATCCTCGCTGTCATTTATTTCCATTTTAAGATGACCAACTGAATTAGCTGACACTGATCTCACTTGGATAGATATATTAGTTTTAAATTATTTACCATATAGATTTGTCCAGCCATCATTTAGTCTAAACTCAGGTATTTGCTAAAATGTATGTTTTAAATGTGTACTTAGTCCAACAAGGTTATTGATGTGACATTTAAAGTATTAATTAACTATTGGGATCATTTATGGCATGCATTACTCACACACGTCAGCCATGACTCGCCAGTTTGTTGTTTGTCCATAGAATCAATATGTGTCTTCACATTTAACTTTGATTACGTGTAAATAAAATGGGAAGAATGTTTTGTACATATTGCCTGTTTTCACTTCACAGGATCCCAACCATGGCGGTTTGGGGCACAGCAGGAGGCGTCGCCCTGGTCCACTTCACAGATTGGAGATTGATTTTGGATTATGTCCCCTACGTAAGCGGCAAATTCAAGAATGACGAGTAGAGACACTAAGGTTAGTCTCAGTGACGTGTACAGAAATAAGTTAGACTGACTTCTCAAACTATACAAACTGTTGTGTTATTGTCCTAATTGAAAATGCTCCACAGTTATCTGTTTTCAATGAGGTGAATTAGATTACAATTATCATGTCTTCCTTTTAGAATAATTACAAACACATTTGGGTTTTGGGGCTGAAAAGGAGCCACAGTCACTGACTCGTGTGTCATCTTATTTTTGTATATTTTATAGTATAAGTATATATTTAGACTCTTTAACACAGACCTTATAAATTAACTTATGCATTATTTTTCCACCTATTGCTAATTCTCACTGTTGCACATTATCTAAACTGCATCAACAAGTCTGCCTGTAGTATGTTCTCCAATCCAGACAAATGTTGATTCTTTTTGCATCTTGCATGTAGGGTTGTTTACTTTGTTGTTGTTTAGTTCACTTACTTTACAAGTCATGCTTTTTAAAGTCATATTCCCCCAAAACTCATTATGTCATTCGTTTTAGTGAAGGTCCAATTTATTCCCCATCTTCGTGTCCCTTGTGTTACGTAAATGTCATCCACACATCTATGTCGACGTCTGAGGGCAGCCCATATCTTTTGTGAGACAGACTGTATGCAATGCAATTCTGTCAAATAATGTGTCCAATTGGGTGGTGAAAGCGACCATTGATCTAGACATCCTAAAAAAGTTGTCAATGCGAATGCGCATTGGGATTTATACGGATTAAGACATAATAAACTTTTTATTATTATTACTAATAATAATAACTATTAATAATAAATGATTATTTATTATTATTTATGTTTACAATACATTGTAAGTATGCCTATAGGCTTAATAAGCACTTAAGCATTGTTTTTCTATTCAGGTTACAGGCATATGGAGCGATGCCACATTACTGACCAATCAATAGGTTTCTTTACAATAATGGTTCATGATATGTAGCTATTATCCTTCCATGGGGTTCATTTGGATAGAGACTTATATTTTATCCTTGTATTATGTATTTCATTTATTTGACTACATTTTCTATCGACCTTTTAAGTTTTTGACTGAAGTCAAAAAATATGTCAGCCCGCCAGAAAGTGCGTGGAAAAATACTAGCCTGAATTTGCTTTGCTACAACTTAACTGAAAATGAGTCTTCATGAAGTAGTCTAGCAAATTTGGTCAATTCTCTTTCTGGACCTGGTCCCAATAAAACATCAGGACTGAAGGAACAATAAGTGGCAGGTATTTCAGAGGCGTCAGGGGACCAGAATCCATGTTGCAGCTTCTATTAAGACAGGATTATCTCCTAAACCTTCCGCCACTCTGCAGCTTAGTGATTTGGCCTGAAAATGTCCAAATCTGTTGATGTACAACCGACAAATCCAATGAAATCCACGAACATTGTTTGACAGATTTTTTTGGGATTGTGAAAAAACAAAAAATCCCATCATTTATGAACAGACAAATGCGCTTTCACGTTTGTCCCCTGAACTTGCTGACTTTACCTCCAGCTTTTATTTGTCGCTCACAACCCTGTTCACTCTTTTACCGTTCAAACTAATGACTTTATTTCCCCCCAGTCAGGTCGGTGCCAGAGACTTCAATAAGGAACCATAACTGCCTCAGCCTGCATTGGCTGCCAGGCCACTGAAAGCGGTCGTCTTCATCCTGCGGCTCCGCAAACATTGAACTGTTCTCTCCATCAGCATGAAACAAACCGGAGTCAAAATTCCTCAAACAGTGCAAACTTGGACGGAAGGAAAATGAAAGCACCAACAATAGATGGACTTTTCTTTTTCTTTTTTACCACTTCTTTTGGGGTCGGGTAGTTATTTGAATCATCGGTCTTATGTTTGTCAGACCTGATGGACTTCTGTCCAACACTGTAATTGTTTTAAAGAGAAGTAAAGTATGTGAGATATAACCTCTATTGTGGTTGTGTATAATTATTTCACCTGCAATTATTTAACGCGTATTTGTATCCTAAATGCAGCCCACAACACATTGCTTGGACTTGAACAAAAAAACTTGTGCAAACCCGATTTGTTATATACCTAAAAACTACTGCTGATCACAAAATCTGTGTTAATCAATGATGAAAACGAGCCTTCAACGGAACACATGTATTAAAAGGGCAGCCAAATGACGTGGGAGAGAAGACCTGTTCCTGGGGGGAGTGGAGAACACGGTCATCCTTGAATCAGAGGATTGGCCGGTCAAAGTCCGGTGTCCTCAGTGTATGAATGGGTGAATGATGACATTAAGTCAGTATACAAGTACAGCCCATTCCTATGCAGAATTTGGGATTTTAAATGGTGGAGTTTCTTCTGTATAAAAGTGTTATCTTATTTCTAAGTGTGACCATAGATTACAAAGTAAATGTTATGCGATAACATTAAGGGAGCTCATTAATGGAATAGAAATTACACAAAAGGACGTACTTAGCTTAGATGCATTGAACGTTAAGTACTTTTTTGCTAAGTATACTTCTAGTATAAGTTTACAAATGTTTAAGCAGCATTTTTTTTGTAGGGCCATGTGTTTTTTTGTCAAACTACTTCTAATTTATAGATGTATTAACAATGTTGTCACGTAGTATCATGCGTTTTGCAAAGGAATGTTTCACCTAAATATGATACAAGTACAAAACAACCTCGAAATTGTACAAAGTATAATATTTGTTTGAATATAATTACTTTAAGACGAGTTCCTTTCCATTTTCGACGCTGTGCAGCTGACGGATCATTTGAAACCTGGCGCGTCCTTCTCGCACTACTTTACAGTGTCGCGGAAGTCTTCCGCTCATTGTGCTGCGAGGCCCCGTGGCGGAGTGATCTGCTGTTGTGGAGGTCCTGACGGGAGACAGGCAGTGGATCGATAACAAACCGGGCTCGGTGAAAAACTATGAGTGCAACAATAGGCAGCTAGCTGGCTTCTTATCTTTTATGAGCCCGAACCCCCGGCAAGCAGATCCACACAACCGAGACCATGGAAAGAAAAGGGTGAGACTCTAAAATGTCCAGTCGGAAGACTTGAGGTGAAAGTTTCTCTGCAGGAAATGCACGCACGCATACATGCGTTTTTCGCAGTTGAGAACAACACTGCGCGGTTACTCAAGTCTTGCGTTACTTTGCGCGTTTCTCACGATGCCCGAACGTGACCTTCCACCGCGGGTTTGAGTCCACGGACTTTAGAAACTCGCAACTTCGAAGGCGCGATCGACGCTGCGGCCGCCGGTCCGTTGACGTTGTCAGCGCTGCTAGCTTGATTAGCTAGCGGAGTTTCATTGTTTACACACGCATGATTTGCGCTGCGTCGGGCCGCGGCGCGTCTGCGCCAAAAGTAGCGACGCGAAATATCCGCCGCAGCTCGGTTCGGCTCGCGGAAAAAAATAAAATAAAAATAAAACCCCAGCGCGTCGGCGATGGAGGATGTCTGCGTTGGTTCCTCCGACGAGCCGCGCTCGTCCCCGGACGACGGCGGCCGGAAGAAGGCTGCGGGAAAACGGCAGCTACGTTGCGCTACTGTGACAAAAGTCCCCGCAAAGCTGCAGCTACGAAACACCCAAAGACGACCCGAGATCGGCCGCTCAACTGTGCCGGATCGATCGCACCGCCGGCTGTGGGCGTGAGCAGACGTGTTTGAATGACGTGTCCCGAGTCCTCGTCATTGGACCCGTGACAGCGGGACGACCTGCACGTGTATAATACTTAGTAATAGTTGCATTGCCGCAAAACCCTCGACCTACTAACTACACCTCACTCACAACGCAGTGGGCAGTGGGGCAGGGGGGGGGGCACAAGTGCATCGACGCCTTTTAGTTTCATGAAGAGGTTCATGTCGTGTTGACTCTTCTTCTTCTGTGTCTCTTCTCTCCAGCGTTCCCATTAAGCGCATCCTCAACAAGCCCCAGATAGTCCGCAGCCTGGGCAGCAACCTTCACGCGGATGTGAACGCCAGCCACTCCCGGGCCGGCTGGTCGCTGCTGACCAAAGGGCAGCGCAGCAGGCACAAGAATCTGTACGAGGTCAACCATCAAATCAGGGTGAGGACGCGTTTTGTTTTGGGTGTTGGTGAGTCGTTGGTAGCTGGACGTGCAGTGCTGCTTGACGGGATCCCTGCACCATCCTCTTCTTTTTGTTTGTTTTGCAGGGGCAACGCACACTAATCAACAGTTGTACACTCATCTGGACCATGAGTGTGTAACTGCGTTATGGTTTTGGACACGTGTAGATTCTTAAATCCTAGCAGTAGAAACCGGAAGCTCCTTCATAGACGTGTTTCTGCCTCCCTGCCTGTTAAACAATAGACCTCATGATTGACAGATTACTTTACTACGAGGGATATTCAGTGCTTTTGTTATCATTACATCTTTTTATTTTGCCTGTTCAGCTGAAATATCTTTAAATACCTCCCAAATGCATTGCAATGTTAATTGATGAATTGAATCGGCACTGATGAAACAATGACTCAGTCACACAACTATGTCGGTTGTAGCTGGTGTGTAACAAATGTCATTCTTAAAACTTCTCTCTTAAAGAACAAGCCGGATTTAAACACAACACTACCAGTTCGACAGACGGCTTCCATCTTCAAACAACCAGTCACCAAGGTTACCAATCACCCCAACAACAAGGTGAAGACGGACCCGCAGAAGGCTGTGGACCAGCCGAAACAAGTAGGTCACCGTGCACGTTTCACCTCTTAAATTCATTGGTGTTATAAATTGTAAATGAAACGGTTCCTGTAAGTAGCTGTATTGTTTTCCCCGCTGTGTTACCGTCATGATACCGGCTGTTCTCTTATTTGGCTTTCTGGCTTTGCTGGTATTTAGAGCGTGCTGATGGGTTGATTCAACCTTTTTGATGATTTTAATATTTTTTTCGGGGCGGGGGTTTGCCTCAATCTTCAGTTGTTCTGGGAGAGGAAGTTGGGCGGTTTAAATGCGTTTGATATCGCCGAGGAGCTGGTGAAAACGATGGATCTTCCCAAAGGCCTACAGGGTGAGCGTAACCGAAACAAACATAACCACGTTGTGTGATTCAAGGCGACGAATCTCTGCTTGACTTCTGCCGCCCTGCCGTTCTCTTTCTAGGCGTCGGGCCGGCGTGTTCGGATAAAACACTTCTTTCTGCCATCGCCAGCGCTCTGCACACCAGCCCCTCACCTGTCACTGGACAACTCACGGCCGCTGTGGAGAAAAACCCCGGAGTCTGGCTCAACACGTCGCAACCTCTCTGCAAAGCCTTTGTGGTGACGGATGAGGACATCAGGTGAGACGCGGCGGTTAACGCTCTCACCCGCATGCCAGATGCCAGAATGCTCCTAATTGCCGCCGTAATCCTCCGCTGTGTCTCCCAGGAAGCAGGAGGACCTGGTGCAGAACGTGCGGCGGCGCCTGGAGGAAGCCCTCACAGCCGACATGTTGGCTCACATAGAGGACACCACTGCAGCCGCAGCCGCAGCCAACAAAGCGCTGGAGAAGGTGGAGCAGGTGGACAAGGAGGAATTATAGCCAAGGTACACGCGACTTCAGAGCCGGTTCTGTTGGTCCACCCGTTTCCTCTGTTTGATCGTCCTGCGTCGTGAAGATCTTCAGTACATCTAACGCGTCTCTCTGTCTCGGCTCCGCCACAGGCTTGTTTGAGATGAAGTTTGCTGGTAAACTCCTTTCCTTTTCAAATAATTGGCTCCATGAAGATTTTTATACACTTTGAGATGAAATAGACGGTAAATGCAGACGTTCTACCCATTTTGTTTACCTAAACTGAAACTGTTTTCTTTAATATTATTATTATTTCTTTTTTTTTTACGTTCAACGGTGTAATTCTGGAAGGGTGCTTTGGATTTCCAGTTCATTTTGACCTCTCCCGATGTAAGGCAACTTTCTTTAGACTCTACATACTGTTTCATGTCTCGATGACGTCACCATTTCATCGTGGATACTTTGTCGAATCAAAACAAAATGACTGTTCCTGTAAGTAGTTTTACTTTTAAGGAAGTTTACGGCAGTTGTGGATGATTCTCTACACAATGCAGTGTTACAGTTTGTAAACAGCTGTTAAAGCTCAAAGTAAAAAAAAAAAAAAAGTAAAAAAAAAAAGATGTGTTTTGTGTGTGTGCACGCGTGTGTGTTTGTATTGAATGTATAATTTCATGTCGCCATCTTAAGTGTGTTTCTTTTTTGACATCTTTCTTTTTTTATATTTTACTCTGGCGCTGCAGGTGTATCGTGTTTATGTTTGGAAGCATAGAAAGGTTGCAGTATGTTTACATGCACATGGCACTGTTGTGGATGTGAATAATCAAATTTAGTTTAAAGCAGTGTTATTTCTCACAATAACTCGAGTTTACATGGTTTTGAAGTTCAAGTCTGGGTGTTTTTGTTGACTAAAGAATTATCAGTACTGTTTGCCGGCTACATTTGAGTTTTATATGTAACAGAAAAAGTGTGTACCTTCAGAAAATACAGAAACCAATAAAACACTGATGTAACTTGCCTCAAGATGTTCTGTACCTCATTACAAGAATCATTATTTGTCTCCATACCACTGTGAAATAAATGCAGCTCTTTCACGGCGGGTGTTTAGTGTGGTGTTTGGAAATTATTTTAAAATCCAGCAGGTTGCAGTAAGTGAGCATGTTTTTAGATTTTGTGATCAAAGGTTGCTTAAATATTCACATACCATGATTATGTTGACGTTAGTGGATTTTGGAAATCAGTCATTACAGGTACTGTCTGGGCCAAAGCTAATATATATAGCTATATAAAAAGCTAATATATTAGCTTTTTATATAGCTATTTCACCAAAGTTACAATCTTTTATTTTTCAGGCACAACTCATCACACTATAATACAGATGTGTTTCACAGCGGATTTCATTCTCCTATCACGGACCAGGCTTTTCTAATCAAGCATTTCATTGCTAAGCGTACATACATTTCATTACATGTCATTTAGCTGACGCTTTTATCCAAAGCGACTTACAATAAGTACATTTCAACCATAGGGACGCAAACTCAGAGGAACAAGAAACAAGTGTGATTTCATAAAATAAGCCAATTTGCTATAAGTGGTGTTACAAGTACAATTTAAGTGCTACAAGTTGTTAGTCTTTTAGTTAAGGTCAAGTTAAATTAAGAATAACACATTGTGATATTTTTTTTATAGATTTCATACTTAACAAACGCCCCTTTTGGATCGTTTCAGCAGGGAAACGCATGCTTTGCATGAAATAAAAACAAATACAGCTCAATACAGAAAAAATAACGGTTTAGGCGTGGCTATTTTCACAGACGGTATACATATTTTAGAATTTAAAATACATTTCTGTTGATACATAAAGAAAAATCCCAATTGTGTTGTTCCTTTCAGCTCGAGAAGCAAGAAAAATGTCTGCCTTTAATCATTGAAGGTGTTTACATTCTTCCAAATAGAAAATATTGCCCTCGATCATTTTTTTTTGTTATTGTTTTCCTGCTCCCTAGAAAGCACAAATGATGACACACACACACGATCACCATCCAACGCTTTTGTCGAACCAGCCCCTGGTAGCCATGATGAACACACCCAGACATGACCACATTTCTAAAACGTGGATCGATGCGTTAACACTCAGGGTGCAGAACATGCATTAAAAAAGGAGGGAGGAGGGGAGGAGGGGGAGAGGGGGGGGTAGTTCCCCGCAGACTGCCAGACACAATAGTGCCAGCAGAGGTGACTTGACCGTGGATGCTCCCTCTCTCCCTCTCTCTCTCCTCCCATCCCTCCCTCCCTCGCTGCATGTGGCCTTTGAACCCATTGTTGTGTCGCGGGTGACGTCAGGGCCGTGTGCGGGAGACGGAGCGGCGTGCGCCTGGCGAGACAAAGGCGGCGGACCGACCGGGGTCAGGCAGCAGCAGCGAGCCCAGAAACACTGTGCGTGCGCGTGTGTTTTGTGTCTAAAGCGGAACCGCGAACGTTGGATTCCAGCGGCTCGCTCCTCCTGAAGGTACGCAGAGCCGAGACCGGGCGACACACCCCGGGAATCACGCTTCGTCTCTCCAGAAGAGAGAGAGAGGGGGAAAGAAAACAACAACAGGGCTCTCTTCTCGGGTTTGAACGATTTTCTCCTTCTCCTCCTCCTCCTCCTCCTTCCCTCCCAACCACCCACTCCACTCCCCCCCCCCATTTGGCGTGCTAGTTAGCTTACCCGCTAGCTCCCTAGCGCTGCTTCTGGCTGCTTCTCATCTCCTCCCCTTTGAGGAAAAAAAAACCGGGCGTCACGCGAAGACGGGATCTCTTCGACAAAGGCAACATAAAGTAAGTTCCTGGTGTTTTCTCACTTAAAAAAAAAAATATATATATGTTTAAAAAAAGATGCAGATCGCCGCGGCTGCCTTTGTGAGAGGCAGCCTGTCAGTGAGCGCCGGAGCTAACCAGCTAGCCGCGGTGCTCCCAAACAAAGGGGTCGACAACGTGACCGGTTGCCGACTATGTGGAGCTAGCATGTTAGCATGAAGCTAACAACAGAATGTAATCCCTGTTTTTCTCCAATGCGACCGGTGCACAAATGTCACACACTTATAACGTCATATATGTCTGGAATCTGTGCCACACGGGTTATTTCGGGTCTCTGTCTGTGTGTGTGTGTATGGGGGGTGGGGGGGTACTTTGTTCACTTGTGGGGCAGAACAGACACGATCTGACAAAACAAACCAGCCTCCTGGATGCGTTCAGTTGTCAGACAAGAAGCAACAACAGACAAAGCAAGGCGCTCAAACCCGCACCGCTAACGCACGCTGCGGTGCGCGGCTCCTCTCCGCTCGTCCTCTTCTATGTTTTAATGGTAAACAAACACGCGATTACTGTTATTTTTCATTATTTATGTTTTTCCTCCGGGTGTTTTTTTTCTTCTTATTCCTTTTCTTCTCCAGAAGTGGGTGAGCTCACTCCCATCAGGCACCCGCGATCTGATGTGAGATCCACGCAGACGCACAATGCCTAGCCCTTTATTCCACCCCGAGATCATGGACCACGACGTGGTGATCAGCAGCCAGCACGGCGGCGTGGGTCTGCCCCGAGAGACGGACCAGGAGTCCCGCGAGGACGACCACCAAGAGGTGCTTCGCTTCGCCCTGGACCAGCTGTCACTCATGGCCCTGGAGAAGGTGGACACCCTGGACGGGACCCAGGGACCGGGGTCCGAGGGCTGCAACGGCGTGGGCTACGTGGACCTGCAGATGCTGGAGCACCCGAGCGGCTCCCAGGGCTCGCCGACGTCCTGCTCTCCATCCCCGGAGTACTACGGCTCGGGCGGGTACCACATGGCCGGCTCCCACGCCATGCTCCACGGGGAACAAAGCTCCGTCCTCTGCAGCAGGAAGCGGAGTGTCAACATGACCGAGTGCGTGCCGGTCCCCAGCTCGGAACATGTGGCCGAAATAGTGGGGCGACAAGGTAAGGCGTGCGTGCGCGCGCTCGCGAGGAGTCGCTCGGTGTTTATGTTTACGAGCGGCTCGTCCTTTGTTTGGGTGGCGGTCCGGTGGGAGGAGGGTCCCGGGACTTTTACAGCCCGACCTTGGCGCGTCTAAAAAAATGCCAGCATGCTAAAACCGTAAAATATTCACCCGGTGTATCCAATACGTTTGTACATTTTAAAACAATATTTAGACAATGCCTCAATGTAGGAGTGAGTGGGAGAGTGCGGTTGAGGAGAGAGGGGGAGGAGAGAGGGGGAGGGGTGGGCGAGGGTCAGACAAAGCGGCAGATTGTGGGGAGTCTGGACATGTCTAGCAGCCTGCACCAAACAAAGGAAATATGACGGGTTTTTAAATACACCCGCGGATCACGACAGGCGGCGCGGGACCCGCACCTCTCGCGTTTAACCCACGCAAAAAAAAAAAAAAATACACGTGTATTTGTTCTCCTCGTCTCCGCGGTGCGCGTCGCTGCGCCGAACCGGGGCAGCGGGCGCGGGGCGGTGATACGCCCTGCACCCAGCTCCTTCCTCCGCCGACACGTTAAGACGCAACTCGGCTCTTTTTCCCCCCCTTCCTCGATCATTTATCTGTATATGGACGTGGCTTTAAATACACACACATGTTAGGGGGGATGGTGGGGGGGTTTGGACCGTCCGCCGCGGCCGCGGCAGCGTTACGGCATTGTTCCCTTTGTTTGAAAAAGCCATGCTTTCTGCTTCCCAGAATGACATCACGCTCCTCGCGCCCCATTGGTCGCCGAGTTCGAAGCGTCCATATTTAAAGAAACAGCAGCAGCGGCTCGAGCGGCGCTGCAGGCGCCTCGTGGATGTCCCGCATGTTGTCCTCCGCGCCCCACATACGTGTCCTGTGTGGTGCCCGGGGACTTTTGAATATGATATTCAATTTAATTATTAGATTTATAGAAAATGTAATTGTTTAATTTGATAAAACACACTCTAGTTTAACTAGCTCGGTGTGTGTTTTTGAACAGGTTGTAAGATTAAAGCCCTGCGTGCCAAGACAAACACCTACATCAAGACCCCGGTCCGAGGTGAGGAGCCGGTCTTCATCGTGACGGGGCGCAGGGAGGACGTGGAGATGGCCAAGCGCGAAATTGTCTCTGCGGCTGAGCACTTCTCTATGATCCGGGCGTCCCGCTGCAAAGCTGGAGGACCCGGAGGCGGAGGCGCGGCAGGAGCAGCGGGAGGAGGAGGAGGAAACGGCGGCACCGGCAGCGGGACCGGCTCCCTTCCGGGACCACCGCACTTACCCGGACAGACCACTATCCAGGTACATAAACCCTGTGGCTTAGTTGTCCTACTGTGTTGTTTCCTTTATTCTCTCCAATAAAAACAGGGACAAAACTACACCACTATTGTCCTTTGTTGACCTGAGGCATTTCTATTGTTGCTCATCCAGGTGAGGGTCCCCTACAGAGTAGTTGGGTTAGTTGTTGGACCGAAAGGAGCAACCATCAAGCGCATCCAGCAGCAGACCCACACCTACATCGTGACACCGAGCAGGGAGAAGGACCCGGTGTTCGAGGTGACCGGCATGCCGGAGAACGTGGACCGAGCGAGAGAGGAGATCGAGACCCACATCACCCTGAGAACCGGGACCTTTGTGGACCTGCAAGGAGACAACGACTTCCACTCCAACGGCACCGACGTCAGCCTGGAAGGCCTCGGCGCCCTGAGCGGAGGCCTGGGGGCGTCTCTGTGGTCCAGGGCCACCGGCCACCATTCCGGCCCGCCTCCTCCCCCGTCTTCCCCGCCCCCTTCCGCTATTCCCATAGCCATGCATCACTCATCCGGCCGGAAGATGTCGTCGTCCATTGCCTATCACGCTCACAACGGCGGGATGAGCTCAGACAACTTCGCCGCCGCCGCGCGCAAGGCCAACGAGGGAGGCAGCCCCACCAGCCCGTTTAGCACAGGTTCCAGCAGCGCGGGAGGGGGTTTCACTTTCGGGGGCGACTCCACCCCGGGGCTCCCCTCTTCGGACGAACTGGGCTTTGAGTTCAGCGCCGCTAACATCTGGGCGCCGTTCATCAACGGCGGATCGGGCAACAAGACGGCCGGCTCGGCGCAGCAGCAGCCCGTGCGTCGCAACAGCAGCGGCCTCAGCGGCGGCGCCATCACCCCGCGGCTGTCTCCGACTCTGCCTCAGGACACGGGCGTGGGCGCCCTGGATCACCCGCTGGCCCGCCGCGCGCAGAGCGACCCCCTCAGCACCCTCTCCTGGCTGCAGTCCGGCGGCGTCGCGGGCGGCTCCTTCTCGGCAGCGTCCAGCTCCAGCTCCGGCGGCTCGTCGACCGGCTACTCCTCCTGCTCGGCCTCCTCGCTGCCCGGCGGCTCGCCCACTGACTCCGAGGGAGGCGGCAGCGGCGTGGGCCTCAGCTCGGGGATGCTGAGCCGGCTGAAAGGGAGCTCCGGCCCCGGGGTCCCGGGCCTCGTGGGCGTCGGCCCCGGCATCAACAGGGACTGCTTTGTGTGCTTTGAGAGCGAGGTGACAGCGGCCCTGGTGCCTTGTGGCCACAACCTTTTCTGCATGGAGTGCGCCGGGCAGATCTGCCAGTCAGCTGACCCCGAGTGCCCCGTCTGCCACACCCCCACCACACAGTGCATCCGCATCTTCTCCTAATGCCGCGGCCGGGGAATGGGGGCAAGAGGAGGACTGAAGTGGGGGCAACAGCCGTGGCAGAGCCGAGGGAAGGATTCACACTAATAACGTCCACGCGCGCGATGATACGATACGAATATTGCTTTTTTTTTTTTTTCCTCCGCTGGCAAATGTTAAGATAAATAATAATATTAATAATTGCGATGACTTCTTTTCGAAACTGGATCTGCACACTGTGTGGTCTCTCAGTGATGAACTTTTGGAAGGAAACTAGTGTCTTATCTCTCTTCAGGCCTTCATTGTGACCCGGAGCAGCCGCCCTGCTCGTCTGTCTCCACATCTCTCCATTCTGGCTTCTTCAGATCTCTGCTTTCTGTCTCACAGCCTTTCCTTTTGACACTTTTGTACTTAACAGATATTTTTCAATGGAGCTATCGATGAGGCCTGCGATTTTTTTACTCCGTATCTTAATGTCCTTGACCGACCGCAAACCGCTCCAACGGAAGCCTCGGCTCCCCATCCGCCGCTCGCCCGAGTGGCCGTTTCAGCGGCCCGGTCGCTATTTTTCTGCAAGCTTGGAACTTTTCGGTCCACGTGTAGTCGGGCCGATATCAGAACAATACGCAGAGGGAACCCTTTCGACGACGACGACTTCCCGTTTTCTCTCTGCCACACAAAAATGAGCTGCCGAATGAATGCCGACAACGGGCATCTCTTTTTAAATTGATCAAATTCAATAACGCGTTGGATGAGTTTAAAAGCGTCCCATTCAAACTGTCACTGCTGCATTGATTCACACGAATTGTCCCTAAAATGAGGGGGTGCAAGGTGCCGTTAGTCACACCACAGGAATGTCTCTGAGGTCAGTTTTCCCCAATCTCCGCCCACAATCCCTCTGTTGGCAATAATGCCGACTCATCAGCGCCATTGTGTGTCGTCACCACGCTAAGATCTGCTTCCTGTCCTGCTGCCGCGCTCCTTTTTCCCCCTTTTTTTTTTTTACTTACACGCTCACGGTCCCAGTGGAAGACATCGCTCTGGTCCGTCCACGCCGGGACACTTTCCTTCCGTCTGTTACACTTCGATCGGCTTATTTAGCATTTTTCTACTAGTTTTGGACTCGTGGCTGCCGAGCGTGCGGCTCGCAGGTATATTTTGAACTCTTAAGATAAGACGGGGCTTTTCTAAATATCACACATGAATGTTTTTGTCCACTTAAGGTCACGGAGAGGCGGCCTCTCTGCCCCACGCGGAGCAGGAGCGAGGGGCCCGTTTGAACCATTTCTTCTCATGCACTGTAACCTCTGGCCCCTCTAAAAAGATAAGAAACGGCTCTTACTGTTTTTGTTTTTGGTCACCAACCCTGCTCTCACAGCCAAGCTGTACGGCACTCCCTCCCCCTCTCTCCCCCCCTTTCTCTCTCTCTCTCTCTCTCTCTCTCTCTCTCAGATGACACACTCGCAGCCATGCAGCGCTGTGTGTACTCCTGGCCGACCGCGGTGCACTATATGGTTTGTAAGCGTTGTCCTCTTTGTTTTCCGCAGCATTGTCGAGTAACTCCAGATGAGGCGGTTGAATACTGTTTTGTGTTAGTGGTTTTTAAAGAATTCAGTGTGAGTTTGAAGTAACCGCCTCGATAGTGTTAATACTGTACGTATGACTTGGGCGACGCTGGTGTGGTGGAACACGTTTGTGGCCCTTTTTTTTTTTTTTTTGTACATGCATGGAATCCGCTCATTGAATGAGACAAGCCATCACCACAGAATTAAAGCGACACATGTAATTCTCAAGGGCTTCCTCTTGACTGCACAGACACACAATCACATTTTAAGGCTCACGCGCAGTAGGTAGAACTTATCCTTTACGGCAGCTAGTAGCTAGGTCATCCAGGGCTTCCAGACACACTTTGTGGTCAAATCCCAGCAGCTGCAGAATGTTTTTGCTTCTTTTTTTTTTTCTTTTCTAATTCATTAGATTTTCCAAACTGTCCCCATACAGTCCTCGCGTTCATGCCCTGGCAGCAGAGCGTGGGGCACCGCCGTCTCTCCTCCTCTCTGGACGTGGTCTCTGATCAGGGCGGGTTTTAATATCGGGGGTGGCAGCTCTACTTGAGTATATAATGTGTGAGTAAGGGCCGTTCTGGCTGCGCTTTCGTTGTCTCCAGATGTTAAAGTTATTTGCCGTCTGACCGTTGATTTGCTAAGTTAAGTGACGAGGGCAGCAGCAGCTGCACAGAGGAATCCAATAAGCCGCTGTCCTGTTGCAGTAATGCACTAATTCATGTGTCCACACGTGTGTAGGAAAAATCTACCCAGGAGCTGAAACTGGTAGTCTTTGTGAAGACTCTCCCATGGTGCTTTGGTGCAACTCTCTACTGAAACGATGCGACCAACCAACCCAGTTAGTAGTAGTGGGGGTGGGGGGGCTCTCAGTGCTCAGTCTAAACCCCCGCAGAGCACAGCAGACCCGATCATCACTTCCGTCAGAACTGGCTCTCAGGGCGGCGAACTGAGCGGATCCGCGTCACCGGTCTAAGGTCGATCTTAAAAGCCCCCTTTTGAGTCGCCGTGTCAGAGGAATCGAGCGTGTTGTATTTGCCAGATGGGACTAATGTAAATCCGTGTGTTGCACTGGGAAGTTTCTGGCCAATAAGAAGATGGTAGGGTTTAATGTACAGTAGTTTAATTGTTTAAAAGGTACAGAGTTTTTTCAGATTGACTGCTGATTTTTATTTTATTTTGAGCCAAACTCACCCCTCCCCCATTTCCTTCCACAAGGTTTGAAAACAGGGTTTCCTGAGGCATGCGAGCCAGTGACCTCTGACCTTTTTATTGTGATTTGAGGAGGGGGGATGCAGAGAGAGCCCTGCTAGTGAGGGGTGACACCCCTTGAGCCGCAGCTCTTCTATTTTTGGCTTTAATTCTTTGTATGCAGAACCAAAATGTAAAACGTTGACAATAGGTTTCAGGCCTGACGTGTGTGTGTAAATACCCGGAATACAATCATTGGGATCTTGTTTTCAAAAGCAAATGACGTAAATGAAGATAAGTGTAGTTTCTAAAGAACATGTATCATTATTTGTAAGTTAACCATCTGCATGTCTTCAAGCCATCTGGCATTAGCTAATAATTTTTAAGATAAAAAAACAAAAACTTTTTACACTTTATTTTTTACAATTTATTTGCTTACCTAAATATCCCAGACAATAATGTGACCCTTTTTATTACTTCAAATTTATTTTTATTTTCCATTATTTTTTATTTTCCTTATTTTCTGTGTACTACATATAGGCAATTTATAACAAAATGAGAAAATTATTGAAGAAATTTTAAAATTGAAATATATTTTATTTGAAAGTTTATGGACCTTTTAACCAAGAGCCAGAAAAATTGTATAATCGTATAATTTGAGCTGACTTGACGGTTATGAGAAATGTATCAAGAGTTTTATTTTTTATGCTTCTTTAATAAAGTCGTTTTTGGTTTCATTTTTTTACTGTAAAATATGACTGTGTGTGGTGTCTTTATTTTTTGGTTGTTTTCGGGGTGAACCAGGTGCGTCTGTGCCACTCGGGGGCAGCAGATAAAAGCAAAACCGATGAAAATAACGTTATGACATTCTTATGAAACCCTTTCTGGACATTTTACACGCCATACTGTTCTATGACTTTATATGATCCCTTTTATAGTATACTATATCACTTTAAAAATATTTTGATGGTATATGTTCTTTTTTCACCACATCCTAATTTGTTGTAATATAATTTCAGTTTTAATTAAATTTCTTATGACAAACTACACTGACTGCGACGTTTTTATGGCTTACTACACTCACTTTATTACTGCTTTGTATGACCAAACCGTCCTGCCGTACGAGGCAGTCAACTTTTCCTTACATTTTATGCCTCGCTCTTCCATGACTATTAATTTACAAACTGCATTCTTTACGGAACAATTATTCCATATACAATCTGTTATTTCATCTTTCGATAATACAGTAAAACTATTTTTGACATTGTTTTTGTTACTGTCTTTTTACACTTATTTCAACATAGAAAACTGATCACTAATGACTTTTTTTTTACATCCCACACTGACTGTTCAACATACTATGACTTTTTACGACATTCAATAGAATTACTTTTGAAAGACGAGCATTTGTTTTTAATTGCTCTATCGCTCAGTTTTTACAACACACTTTGCAATTTCTCAACATTTCTATTTCTATTTACTTTTTTCTACTAGTAATAGGTTTTTGATACCTTTGACACACTAGAGTGTATGTATATATTCTATACACAAATTGACTTTTACATATACTATGGCATCTTACAACCATTTGACATACTACACTAATTTTTCTACATATTAGTTTAGTTTGCGTTAATATAATGCGATTTAAAAATTCAATTAACACGTTTCCACACATACAAACCAGTGCAGGAATTTGATCCACATAGTGAATAAACAGACGTCAAGATAATGACACAAATGTCCCTTTAATAGGAAGCAGATCACAATCAGGCTGCATTCCAGTTCCCCTTTCTCCTCATTAAAGAACGATCAATAATGATAAGAAACAAATTAGAAACATCCTTTGTAGAAAATAATTCTCTCATGCGAGTTGTGTTGACACTACATTCATATTGGTTACAGATGACGTATTCACAAGCATTTTGGAAAAACAAAAGAAAAACAATATGACTTATTACACAGCCGTGGCAATTATAAAGAAAAAGGAAATTCGAAAGTTACATCAAAGAGACACGTGCTGGCACGAATAAGTTCCCATCATGCAATTGTAAGTAGATTCTATTCACAGGGTGGGCGTCATTGGTCTCCACAAAGTTGTGCAGCGTGCACGCATGCATGTGTCATCTCACATGTGCCCTCTTGTGCTTGAGCAGAGATCGTTGTGTAGATGTGGGTGTGCGTGTGCAGCAGTATGTGTGTGCGTACATAGATGAAGCAGGCAACCAACGAGCCCGAAACTGGACGACGGTTATAAATTAATAGTTTTGTTGTTGCTTTTTTGGCAACAACCTGACATGTCAAGTTTCGTCTTGTACCCTGAAATAATTATTAAACAAACAAAAACAACGCGACTGCACTGTTGAATGGACGCACTTAACAAGACTGAAAACAACAGTAACGCTTGGCGGCGACTCCGATGGCTTCTTTGTTTGAGGAAAAAACGAGCAATGGTTCGTGCAAATTTGGTCCTAAAAGGCAAAAAGGAATTCAAGGATAAAAACACTTTCTCCCTTCTTCAAAATGTGAGAAAAAGCTCACACCCTTCCAGCGGGGAGGGGGATTTTATGCATTCATAACAAAAGGTAATAAAATAAAAACTATAATAACTTTTACCATTTCATGGATGTGGATATTGCAGTTGGTGCTCCTCTATTTATATTGACAGCGCATACATTTATGTGTGTAAATAGATCATATTGCTCACAATCTCAAATCCCTTTAAGGTCTGACAATCAATCAATCAACACACGCGCGCACGCACAAACAAAAGACGCAACAGTGTTCTCAGACGGTTTGTTCTTCGCAAAAACGTCATGGTTTTGTGAACAAACAAACGACTATTGCGTTAAAGAGATTAGTTTAGTGTGCAGGCAATCAGGGAAAAAGTGTCCTCGTACATCGCGTGTCCTTCGGGCTTCCTCCACAGCGTCCCTCATGAAAGCCTTTCTGCGTGGCGGCGTATCGATGGCAGAGGAGGTGGACGACGGGGCACAGGGGTGAAACAGGGAGGTCAATTTGCCAAAAAAAGCATACACAGTATTTATTAGTGCGTAAACCACCAATCCTGTAGCCCTTTTTTGGAGTTAATGTGCACTGGAGGGGAGTGTCAGACACTGGGGTATTGCTTTGTGTGGCCACTTCCCTCTTCTTTATCAACACATGTCAGAATCAGCAGTTCGGGTCGTTATTATGAAGCCGGTTTAGGACGGGGTTATATGTGTACCATGATCACAAAATAGTGAAGACCCGCTCCAACCTTGATGCACGAGGGGGTACGGTTGCCATGGTTACAACAAAGTGCATCACAGTTTTCCTGGGGGTCAACATGCAGGACGTTAGCACAGGAAGGGCGGACTAGCAGTGGGGTTGCCACCAGCGGGGCGGGGGGACGCAACATACTGGAAGGTCTGGACGGACACACGGAGAGCACAGCAAAGCGTGGACAGCTCTCTCGAAGACGCAGCGAATCAAAAGTGCAAAGTGGTCGTCCTCACTTTTAGCCGTCGTTCTGCGTTGCATCATATCAATGTACATGTACGCCGTATAAAAGGTGCAATGCGTAATGGAGAATATTGATGGTTGAGGGTGCTTGCTTATCTTGGACTAACCCCAGACGGAAAGCTTTGGGTTGAGCTGTTGAAATATTCTTTATGAAATATGCATATTTACAAACAATTCTTTATGCTTGCATTGATGAAGTGGATGTTGCATAATGTATGCAGGTATATGTACAATAGAGCCTTCTCATATGTGTGCTTGAATGCTGCACATACACTTGTTTATCTATGTCGGTGGGACTATTATCGGTGTGCAGAATAGTTTACTGTGTCTCTGCTGTGTGTGCGTGCGTGTCCTTTCTCTTCCTGTCCCCCTCAGCTGCGTCCCTCCTCGGCTGAGCGCTGGTCCGATTTGAGCTTGACGAACTCTTTGGCCACGTCGTCGTTGTTGCGCTGAGAGAGGATGCGCAGCACGGTCAGGCCCGTCTCGTCCATGTGGACGCGTCGGCCCAGCGGCATCCAGAGGGTGGCGCTGCCCTTGCTGGCTATGTCCTTCACCTGCACCACGGACATGCCCACGGTGCGGTCCTCCCTGGCGAAGCAGTAGTCCTTGACACACACCTGCAGCTCGTAGCTCTCTGGACCGACCTCTGTGCCCAACGAGCTGAAACAAGAGACGATCACGGATTTGTTGAGTTACCTCAAATGGTCATGCAAAACTAGGAGGATAATGCAGGAGAAACGGCTGAAACTCACTACTGGAAGCCCTCATTGAACTTGGGTGACCAGGTGTTGTTCTTGGACTTTGTGGCAAATTTCCTCTTCTTGTCGCTGAGGTGAGGGCCGATGATGTAGACCTCCACAAAGGGCCTGAAGCCCTGAGCCTTCCACTTTAGGTCGTTAGCAGCCACCACTGGGGGATGGACGGAGGTTGAATTAAGGAAAGACAACGTGAGAAGAAAACTGTAACGGCGTTGCGGTCTCCTCTGCGTTTTTCTGTACCTTTGATACTGATCTTGTGCTCTCCGTTAGGTTGGGGTAAAATGTCCACGCACATCACCACCTCGCCTACTGCATCCACTCCAGATGCTGCAAAGACATACTCAGTGGAATTGGTCCCATTTTTGTTCATCAAAAAGTCAGAAATAACAGGAAAATGCAGAGAAATTTCTGTGAAATAAGGCCGGGTAGACTTTGGTGTGCACGGACATGCAGACTGTACCTTTCTCTGGTGGCGTGTCTTCGTTGGCCGTGCACCGGAGTCCTTTTCCTCCGTGGACTGAGAAAAGACAAAAAAAAAAAGTCACCAGTCATTAGAGGACGGCAACCAAATATCATTTTGGACAACAGGAGAAGAGCATTTGAACACATTTAAGTTGTATTACCGATTGTATGAATACAACCACAGGGTCCATGAGCAGGACATTTTAAATTATTTATCACGCATGTTTTATGCTCAACATACTGTGTATAACTAAAACCATTATTTGCTACAATTTGCTAGAAATTCCCCCAAGCAACAAATAAAAAAAATCGGTGTCTTATGAAATCCGTACCCTGAGCGTTCTGCGAGAGGACGAACTTCCTGATGAGCTTGTCGGTGGCCTGCGTGTACAGAGACAAGGCGTAGCGCAGAGACTGGAGATCTGGACTCTTCTCCAAGAACGTCTTCTTCAGGCCCACACCGCCGGCATGGAAGTATTGCTGCGTAACACACATGACGTCACACACGTATCGTAGGTGGGAACACGGCAAATCGGCAGGCAGAGAGACGGACAGCGGCTGATAAAACTGTTTTGGTGGGTCCTCTGTGGAGCTTTGGAACAAAAGCATATTTGAAGCCGGTTTTGCAGCTCATACTTTTCTAAAGCTACACTTATTCACAATCCTTTAAAGTTACATGTTCCCTGCCAGGTGTGTGTTTGTGTGAGACAGCGTGCACAGTACCTTGATAGTGTCCAGGGCCAGCTCTATTACTGCACACTGTTTGGGACTCAGAGCTTTGGCCTCCTCTCGGCCCATGTGCTCCTGCAGGACAGATTAAAGCGAAGGAGTCGGTGAAAATTCGCAATGCATATTTTTCCATTTGATTTGTTTGCCGCTTTCTATTTCCGTCACCTTAAGCTTGGAGAGCTGACCCAACTCCTTGGCAGCGTTGAAGATCATCTGAGTGCCCTGTCACGGAAAGCCAGACAAGTGAGAAGAGGGGGGGAGAAAAGGTAGGCGGTGCTTGAGGGCCGGGCAGTTTAGGGAGGGGTGAGTTTGGGCGGTTTAGTGAGGACGGACTTATTTATATTTAAATAAACATTCAGAACAAACAAGCTACGTCTGGGGAGAGAAAAAGGTTTTAGGGCTTTGCCGTACAGTCAGTCAGTTTTGCAGGGACTCATGGGAAGGAAATGTTGCCGCTGGCGCTACGTGCTGCCATCGCAATCAGGTTGGATGCACTGATATCCACCACAAGGACAAAGAATTGTGAAACAAAGGAACTGTGGCTGCAGAGGGTGGTGTTAAGGATCCTGTTTGAATAACCTTTCTTCATGCCGAGCGATTCTGCAAATAGTCACACACACGCACATACTTACAATGACCTAAAGAAGCAAAGGGGGGGAGAGAATGGAGCGACGGCAGGATAGATGCGTTAATGTACGATCACAATGAAAGGCACTGAAATTCAAAAGTACAGAAAAAAGGTCAGGAAAGTAGAAGTGAACGTCTTTTGCAACATACCGTCTGATCAGTGAGCGTTGGAAGCACAATTGTTTTTTCCATTGTATTCATCACTAGTTTCCACAGCTCCTTCAGCACTCGCTTTAGAACCGTCTTCTCACAAATCTTAGCAAACAACGACAGGCTGTAACACACAAACACACAATTCTTTAGACGGACAGACATGAAGGCTAATACACACAGTGTCATTAGTGCTTGTTGAGGCCATATTAACATTCATAGAGGTCAACACAAGCGTGATTTAACACCACTGAGCCAATCCATCCAATAGCTCGTCGTACTTACTTGCTGTCCAGGAAGTCCATAATGGGCTGCAGGACGTTGTCGGCCTCCTGAACCACGCTGCCGTTGGCCGGGACGGTCTGACCTTTGACCTGGGCCAGGATGTCTCCCATTTGCCTCACGTTGTCCTCGATCTGCGGCTGGAAACTAAATCGCGATACAAAAAGAACACAGGCAGCCTTTTGAAAATCAGCAGCAGAAACGGATTCAGAAATCTCTCAATTCCACGGAGGGACGCCGCACCCACCTGACTGCGAAGATGCGGCTGAGGTCGTCCATAACACTGTTGAGTTTGTTCTGCAGCTCCTTCAGGAAGTCACTAGCCTCCAGATTTAGCTGGAAAAGCCCAACGTGATCAATGCAAGAAGTACGTTAATTATAGCGCAATCACAACAGCATGTATGGAAACTCACATTTTTGCCTCCCATGGCCTCGAACATCTTCTCCAACTGAACTCTGAGCTGCTGGATGTTATTGATGATGATACATGGCTGAGGGGAGAACAAGGAAAATCATTACATACGTCGCGCTCCTTTTTCTGGCTGCTCCCGGCGCTTCATCGTAATCGATCAAGGTTAGTCCTCCAAACTTTTTGGGTCTTTCGTTCTTTATAGCGCTTTTCTGGGTACACAAATACCTCTTAGGAATTCAGATCAGCCTTTTTAAAGGCTTTTATGTCTTCTACTTTAAAATATAGTGAACACCAACCACTTTCTCCTTCTTGACATGGTTTGGAAAGTCCTTTGCAATGATGTCAGCGTAAGACAGCAGCACATTCCCGATGGTCTAGGAGAAGGACGGACAATGACGGCATACATTGGGTTAAGAGTGAATAGGTAAAGGCAGCCAGTGAGAGCATCAGCAGGTGAAAGTCACCTTGGCGAATCGCTTCATGTAGTTGCCTACGATCTGAGGGTCGGGACACTCCAGTTTGCGGATGATTTCAAAACTCTGATTGAGCTGAGAGAACACGTCCACCACCGAGCAGGAGAACAAAGCGTGCTCCGACGTGACCTGGAACTGCAGAACGAGAAGAAAGGGGGGGAAAGTGTCAACGTGCAGATCGGTGATGACGGCAGTGAGAATCGGGGTCCCACCACGGCAGGAGTTCATTCATTTACTTCATCGACGTGAGGCGGTTCTACTGAAAGCCTCTGGGTAGGCGAGATGGAGGCAAGGAGCTCCATTAAGAGCATTAAGGCCATTGGTGAATGGTGTGACGGTATGTGACCAGCCTCCGCTGGGCCGCTGTTTCTGCTGACACGGGGATGTGGAAGCGGCCTCTGGCGACAGTAATTGGACTCAAAGGAATCCAGACATGTGCGCAGGGGGAATCTTCAGCGGCTTTGAATCAACCTTCTTGCTGTGCGGACATGTGTGTGTGCGTGTGTGCAGGTGCGTGTACATCGATCTGCGCCGTCGCATCCGCACTTCTTCACATGGACGTTTTTTTTTCCTTCCTCTGCTGTTGGTATTGAATTTTTATTGATCGCCTTGAGGCCTTCAACCTGCGTGCTAAATCAGGGGAGAAGGCGAGAGCTGTGTGAATTTGCATGAGAAATGCATGAATACATTTTACGAGGAGGAAATGCTTCAAGTAGAAGGTCAGATTCAAGCTTTCATAGTGTATTTTATTACCGTCTCAGCAAAATTGGATTGCTGAATTCTAGTCAAACTTTAGGTCTCATGTGACTGCCGGTTTCTTTCAAAACTCTTTCCTTACATTTTTCCTGCTCACTTTGCTGAGGAAAGCTGACATTTTTTTATCAAGAGAGCGGTTTGATATTTTGAAAAAGGCAAAAGAAACACTCTTAGCACAAAAACTGAAAACAGTCTTCAGGAACAAATAGTCGGTCACCAGCTGTAAAACCAGTGTTTTTGTGAATATTCAACAAATGATAGCATGTTCATTGTTAAGCTTTATAGGTGCAGGTTGGTGGATTGAGTTACTTTTGTTCTGAGCTGTGGTCGGTGTTTCCTAATGTCCTCATGCTAAGCTAAATTAGCCAGCTGCTGATGGTAGTTTCATACTTTACAGATGTCTGAATGGTGTCAATCTCCTCATAAACAATTAGGAAATAAATGTAGTTCCAAGAATATAATAAGTAGTCCAATGAACAAAAATGAGGGCAGCAAAACAAATTTCAAATGGAACATTTGGCCTTGTTGGGTGTTGCCTCGTACTTAGAGGCTGCAAATTTTAAAGCACTTGCAGAAAGTGCTTGTGGCTGAATGTGGCTTCTTTTGTGACAACAACTGTTAGTATGCTAGAATTTTACTAATCAATGATGTGGATGAAAGCACTTACCCCGTCTTTTTTGTCCCTCTCCAAGGCTCCATGCAGAAAATCTCTTGACACCTCTTCATTTTCGTCCAACCACATGACAACAAATGGTTCAAACCAGCTGCAGGACAAAGAACGAGACAACATAAGTTTCTGTGCCGATCAGGTAGCTGTAGGAGGAGACGTGTGCATGCGGATACTTACGCTGGATACTCGGGTACGTGCTTCTGGAAAGTGGACAGCTCCTTGCAGTACTCATTGTAGAGCCACTTCACCTTGAAGTGCAAGTTCATGTAATCTGCGCTTTTACACAGGCGGTTCTTCTCATGCTCTGAATATCAAGTAGACACAAAGAATGAGGAACGTTTTATCATAGACAGTAGTTTACACATAAAACACACACACTCCATTCACAAACTAATGGCTCCTCTTATTTAAGCGCCTGTGATATCACGCAAACACACAGACACCTACCCTCCATGGCGTATCTCATATCTTGTGCGAACATGTTCCACATGACTTCGGCGCTGATCTTGCCTACGTTCAGTTCCTGGGGAAACCTAAACGAAGCAGTACGCAGTCTTACAGTCCGTAATGGTAATTTATTATTTATCGAGACACAGCCTCATTTTTATTCAACATCTGAGTTATCATCATTGTCACCAAAAACGAAGACAATGATCCATTAAATGAATAATCATGAATAATAAATAAATAGCAATTGTAAGGACATTTGTTTTACTTTCCATTTATGAACTGACCATGGTATCAAATCAAGAGATACAGGCTTTTCTTTCTTAAGCAGATCCCATATGGCTACTCATAAACTAGCCCTGAAAGCTCCAGCAGTGCCTCCGCATGCATAATATGAGGAACTAGGTTGATGTTATGAGCTGTGACTCACTGATTAAGGCAAGGAGTGTAGGAGTTTTTGTCCTCCTCTATGATGGAGACGATCAGGGTGATGAGTTTGGACCAGAAGTCCAGGTTCTTGGTGTTGGGGCCCTGCTCATCTGGGGGGACCGCCTTTGACTGGAGACAAAAATAGGCCATGGAATCATGTCGTAACAGCTTGTTTCTTTACAGCGAGAGCACAGAAAAACAAACACACACACTTACAGGGTCTGTCTGATATTCCCTGTTGTACAGGTCGTGGCAGTTGTTGAAAATGTACTCGTAGGTGGAGTTCAGACAGGCTTTCACACAGTCCTTCACCACCTGGCTGGCTCTGGGGGGACTCTGCAGCTCCTGAACCTGAACACAAATGTTACACGACAATATGGTTGAATCCAATTCACCTCCAAGAGATGTCGGCGCTTAGAAGGGATTTAACCATAAACTCACTAAGCTGCACAAATCCCTCCGAAATGCATTAACCTCCTACATTAGCCTCACATGATCATAGCTGAAGTTAGCATAAGGTAATGTTATGCTGATTCTCAGTTCATGCCTTAGGCTACTTTCCAGAAAGTACTAGAAACTTCTTGCATGTGCTACTATAACAAGAGCTATTCTGAAAAGAAAAGATCACATTTTTCAGCGACCCATACCTTCATCCTAAAGAATGTGATGCTTGTCAAGAGATCCACTGTGGACTTGAGGTCTTGTAGTCGTTCAGGACTGCTGGCAGGGAAATTATTCTGAAAGCACATTCACAAACAGAAACGGCAGAAACTGTTAACATACGCTTAAGAAGTTCATTTTTCTTAAAAGTAGTAACATGATGCGTTAGTGACTTTATCAAAACAGAACAATTTTAATTTCATCCCAAACACAGAAGAGACACAAGAGGTGGATTGCAGCAGTTACTCCAGATCAAAGCATTCTGTCAGTACCCGGTACATGGACAAGTCGATCCTCAGCGAGTTGTGCAGCTGATCCAACAGTTTGACAAACCGCTCCTTCTAAACAGGAGAAGACACAGAACAGAAGAAACCACTCAGGAACAAATACCACGGCTGAACGGTTCGTTACAAAGTACACAAACCCCAGGCTGGAACTGACAGGGCTTAGCTGAGTGGCCGTTTGGGGAAGTGGGCAGGGCCACATTAAGGACCCACAGCTTGTTCTCACACAACAAGAGTTTGTACGAGCAATATTCTGAAGTACAGCACCTTTCAGCTCAAGTATGTGTATATCTTGTAGAACATAGTCACAAATATCGAGAAGGGACTCACGCCAAAGTTTGATGCAGCAAATCTGTCTGAGGCAGAAACATTGTTGGAGGACTGGGTGGTGTGGGCGTAGTAAGCATTGATGTTGGCAAGCAGGGTGCTCATCACAGCCGGCACTCCTGGGCACATGTACTTGGATGACAAGCAGGCAAAGTGGCTGTGGGGTGGAAGGGGCAAGAACAACATTTAGTGTATGTACTTGCTCCAATGTATTGGAAAAATAAACTGTAGTCATAATATCTGTTTAAAAGCAAGCGGAATTAAAGAAACTCCTCTAACTGTGGATTTGATCTTTCTAATTGCACATTCAAAAAGGTAAGCATTGAGAGTAGTGACTGACGTCATGGCCTGGTAGATGGACTCTACTCCGTATCTCATAGCGAACTCATCCACGATCTCCTGAGCAGTCTCCTCAAAATACACCTTCCAGGCATCATCCCCTTTGGCATCGGGGATCTTTACGACGCCGCCATTCTGCTCTTCAGTTGTGTACTGGAACAAATGCTGAAAAAAATATGGAAAAATGAAAAAGAAAATTGCATCTCAAATTCGTCTAGAAAGATCATCAGAAAGGTGAATTGAACAGGCCTGAGATAAGATGTACAGATTGATTCTTGGATACTTAATAACACCAACCAAGTAACCTTGTGGTAACACAAAGCCACGAATCCATTTATATTTGTGGAAAGCCTCTCATATGATTAGAATACTTCTTTAATCATCTGTCTGTCTAATCTTAAATGTCCATCCAGCTGGTGTAAGCCCATAAGGGGGGGAGATACATTTGGTTCAGGCAAACAATCAGAAAAGCTGATTGAATGGTCAAGAATCTTAACACAAAAAACATCCACTACTTTTTCCTCTGGAAGATTTCCACCATATTTTCCCTTAGACCTACCTCATGTAAACAGGTGTACTGGACATGGTAAGGAGCAACCGTCTCCTCTCCTTTGATCTCCACACTTATGTGCATCCGGATGGCTCCTGACACCGCAGACTTATCAGTTCTCTTGTCTGTCAAAAGAAAGTAAGATATACATTCCTCCGTGGTTGACTGAGTTAGTTGCATCTTCGAGCGTTTAATGATCCGTTTCTATTGCGGTCGTCTGTCTATAATTCCCGGTCGTCTTCACTCTTATCTTGAAACCTACCCAGGTTGTACCAAACGTCCATCTCCCCACTCAGAGTCCGGACTTCGATGATGGTTTGCCCCAGGAAGTCATCGCTCTCACGTTTGAACCTTTGTTTGACCCGTGACTTGATGTCGTCGTCCTCGTCCCACACGCGAACCTTGATGCGGTCAGACGAGTTGTGGCACTCACTGAATAGGGCAGAGACAGAAGTTGTTGGCTAAAAAAAGTCAACAACGGTGCTGCTGAGGAACAAATATGTTGGTGGATATAACGAGGGAAAAGAGTCATCTCTAGTTAATTATTTCATGACTGACATGTGTTATCTGATATTAGAGCCTAAATGAGATAACTGCACCGTTAAATAACAAATGTGCATTTGAAACATTCCACGGTACTCACAAGTGAAAGTTTTCTTCCCAGACAGGGTTGAGGTTTCCATAGATGGTCTTGGTTCTCTTCTTGGTTTTTCCAACTTGAACAGTTACATAAGGGTCACTGGAACCTGTCTTGTCTTTAGCCTGCAGGCCCTGAGCGCAAACCACTGAGGAAGAAACATTTAAACAATTATACAGCTGTCGCACTAGAATTCATAATGTATTACAACTGGGGGTTTTTGAATCCAAAAACAAGTGACAAAATAAAAAAAGTCCTTAAAATCTAACCTCAAGAAAAGTTCAAATTATAAATCCCAAACTCAACAATCAATCTTAACAATGGACTTTACAAGCAGTACACAACACTCTTAACTGACCGGTGATGCTGATCTTTGCCGACCATTTGGAGGTCCCATCAAGCACGCTCTGCTTGATTTGTTTCATTTGCGTGCCGTGTGTCGTTTTGTCGAGGGCGAACACTTCCAAGATGAGTTCAAAGATTTCTGGTTTGTTCCTCTCTCGGATTTTCATGCGGTCTTTCAGGACCATGATGATGCCCTGGGTCCGGTCCTCCGCCCCGTGCTTTGAGCTCTTCTCTGCAGCTCCTGATGAGACGGATGGATGGAGGAGAGGGACATATGATGGTGAGAACAGTTCATACACTACAACATATTCATGGCATTACGGCGCATAGGCTAGCAGCTCATCCCCTGTTTCCCTGCAACCCAAGAAAGCATCAAATTTAGAAAATCTCTGAATTCTCTCGGCCAGGAATCAAATTCCAAAAAAATCCTATAATATGGCGGTTGACTGCAGAATCAGTATAAGAGTTGGATAAGTCTCCCTGTGTGGAACTGAATTAGTCAAAGTGGTATGGATGCAAAGGCTTTGGGTAGAGAAGAGAGGCAGGAGTATGACAGCACATTACTCAAGAGATAAACTGGAAAGGAAGAGGAAGGAGAACGTTAGAGTGGATAGAGGACAATGATAATGGGATATCAATCGGCCAGAAGGTTTCAAAGGACGTGCTGAAATGGGTTTTGCGTAATGTTCAAAAGTGTGTTTTTGTGCATGTGTGCAAAAATGTATGCGAGTTGATTCTGCGATACATTATTACATTACATCACAGGTCATTTAGCAGACGCTTTTATCCAAAGCGACGTACATTACACTTTTAACCCATGGCTTTTTCACATTTTTGCCCAGGGAGCAATTAGGGGTTAGGTGTCTTGCTCAGGGACACTCCGACATGGTACATGGGGCAGCCTGGAATCGAACCACCAACCTTGTGCTTCCCAGCACACCTTCTCTAACCCCTGCGCCACGACGACCCATACTTACTCTGCAGACAGTCGGCATTGAGCAGATCTTGGCATTTATCGTGGCATTTCACGCCGCACTCGGAGCAGCGCATGCCTTGTCGGGCGATACCCCAAAGCAGCCCCTCGCACTCGTAGCAGTAGGTGGGCGTGGTGGCTGTCCACACCTCGAAGTTGTGTGGAGTAGTGGAGGAGATGGGGTAGATCAGAGCCTGCAGGGTCTTTTTATAAACGTGACTTTTCTGCAAAGGGCACGGAGGAGAAAAACGGGAGTTTGATACCAGCGGGGATTAAAAAAGTAGGAACTTCCTGAACAGAATGGTGTAGAAGTGAGGCGAGGAAACCCACTAGCTCTTCATTGCCGAGCGTGGTGGAAGCCATGGCGGAGGTGATGCCAGCCTTACGAGAGCTCTGCACTAGAGACTGGAGACAAGAGGGTACACACAAACACAGCTTTATGTTTGAACTGCACTTCATATTTATGTTTGGTTTAGCCATGAATACATTTGTAAGGGATGAGCACACACTCACCATCGCCTGACGAGTCCAGGCAGTGATGGAACAGAGGAGACAAAGAAACAATATATTACGAATTTCAAAAAGTTCCAAATATCTATGAGGTGTGTGAGTCACAAAGGTATTTCCTCAACTCCAGAGAACATTGGAATTACATTTATTAATTAGTGTAATTATATTAACAGATATGTAAGAATTTTTATTCAATCAAACACATGAAATGGAGGGGATATTAACTTAAGCAGCCTTTATGAATATATTCCCTTTGGATTATAGAAAAGGGGGAACATTGAGATGTAAAGAAGAAACATGTTGAGCTGTTTTCAGAGTAAAGAAAATCAACTATAAATCAGTTAGTAAACCGAGACTTTGCAAAATAATCTTTCTAACAAGGATTATTGCTTGTGTGTGTGCGTCCACGTTTGTTTCTCACCAGATCTCTGACTAGAGGAACGGCTTTCCTTTTGCGAAGGTCAGGCATGCTGTCAATACTGTAGAGTGCCCCTCCCACTCTGAAGGAGAAAGGAACGAACCGTTCATACTTTCAGCAATATTTACAAAAGATTTAATGATCAGCAAAATGTTTTACTCTGAAATTGAGTTTTACTACTCTGGGCCGGATGCAAGTACCTCCACAATTAAATTATTTCTCCCTCTGCTTGCGTCAAACGACTGGAGAGTTTAATTATGCAGCCTGCCTCGTCTCAAATAGGCAGAACGACACTGGGTTTTATTTCTGCGTAGTTAGCACTTATTCAGCATGCAGCCCCTGTTCCACTTTGAGGTCTGCCTCATCTACAAATGACCTGCCTGCTAAGTCGGGGCAGCCCACAGCCTCCAACACTCACTGGCCAAATGCCATAAACTGAGTGAGCCGGAACTGAGGATTCCCGAACGAAAGAAGGGCAGTTTAAAATCGAAGCGGCGGTGGCCGATTTCCACAATGATGTGAGGATCACTTTGACTGAGGCCATGTAGTTATTGCATTAGCTTGACTATCCACTGCAGGATTCATTATGTATTCTATGAACGGCAAAGAATATTACTTGAGGAACTGCCAGGGAGCACTCACCCTCCTTTACCAAACCACAGCGAGCTGGAGGTCTCTCCTCGAGCCTGAGGGAGACAAAGAGGTAACGTCAGACTAAAAAGCAAGCAACCATGTTCGTCCCTGCAGTGTCATCTTGCATTCATATACTTAATAAATAAGGCTTTGGAGTAGAATTATCTGATAAAACAGAATTATTTGGCTTTTAGCCTTTCAATTTGGATCTCATTTGTGTATTTCTTCCATTAGTGGTAAACAAAAAAAAAAGACTGGGTTGTGTTAGTAAAAAAACCTTTTTCATTCACACAATTTGTAAAACTGGGAAATAAATCTGCCATGAATTGATCCATTAAAAAGCACAACTGGGAACTCATTAGAATATAGGTTTTGCATAGTCGCAAAAAGGTGCTTTGCCTAAATTTTAAAACAAAATATATCTTTGGAGACTCAGATGGAGTGTGGCTTATGCTTTTAGTGGATGTCAGTTTTTGATATAAAATAACACAATTGTTGTGATGATGAGTGAGCTTAGTGAAGTTGTCCGTTTACACGCAGTGGAAAGCTCAACAAGACATCGTTTGAGCGCCTTTCCTTCTTTCTCTCAAGCATCCAAACGTGTTGCACCTACCTGTCAGCATGCTCCAATGATGGCCGAGCAAAGTGCATGCGAGTGTCGCTATGGCAATGACATGAAACTGAAAAGCAAACAAAGTGGGTTTCGGCACAAATAATAGAAATTAAAAGACAAACAAAAAAGAAGCCAAAAATGTACAAAAACGCAACGTGACACACATGAACATAAACATCAAAGCAAGTGATTAATTCAAAGGTAACAAATACCAACATAATATGTGAATAAAATATGCAAGTGAAAACTGATCAAGCAAAATATTATGTGTAAAAACATATGAAGCCGTTTTGTCTAAGTGCTGCACCTCAACTCAAATAAAACCCCTGCAGTCAGTGTGGTTATTTTAAGTAAAAAGGTAGCAGTCATAGAATATGAAACACATCAAGTCTGCTTCCTGCTCTCAAAGCAACTTGGGAAGTAACAGTATGTACCCGGACTGTCACATAAATTATGCATTGCATATTCATATTTCTTCATACTTTGAAGATACTTTTAGAGTCTCTTGAACGGGTATATTTTTTTAGATCCCAGGATGGAACTGAATAAGGTCTGCAGGGATTGGACTGGACCGGTGTGGAGGACAGAAGTGGATTTTGATGTTCGTGTTGGGGTTCAAACCAGTGATCTTACCTCCCGGAGCTGTTCTAAGACTTTATTGTAAAGTCTTAGCCAGTTCTCCTTGGCTCGGACTGCTGGATCCACTGGCTCCTTGGGCTCCTCTACGACTGGAGGACTAAAACAAAAAAACAGTTTGACTTGACGCAGAACAATGTCTTTGGCAACAGACGTGTTCTTGTTGTAGTTCTATCCTATTTGTATTGTTGAATTAATTAATCCGATTCCATTCAAACGTCTCGCCTACCTTTCAGGCGGTGTCTCTTCTTCCTCCAACGGTGACGGCGGCCTGCTCTCCTCATAAAGCTCCCGTTTCTCCTCCACGGGGAGCGTGTCCTCTGGCTTAGCGGGGGGCGTCCTGGCCTCTTCATCCAACATCATATCCTCCTCCAACCACGGCTCTTCCTCCAGCTGAAGAGCCTGGTCCTCAGGGGTGGTGGCAGCACCATTCAGATGGGATTGAGGCTGCCCGGAGGATTGGCTCTGTTGGGACGAAAGGTCCACGGCAGTTGAGGGGGGCTGGGAGGCGGCGTTAACCACGGCGGATGGATGGGACGGAGGGACCACACCGGCTGCAGCAGACTGGTGTTGTTGAGATGCGGCCGAGGCTGGAGGGTGAGACTGGGCGGGCTGCCCGGTGGGAACAGAGGACAAGAAAGTAGAGGCCAAGCCTGTGACTGCAGCCGTCAGAGGTTTGGCCATTGAGAAGAAGGACGTGGCAGACGGAGCCGGCTGCGGTTGTGTCTGGGGCGGTTTAGGTGCTTGGGCAGTTGGTTGACCGGAGGGGGGCTGTGTCACGCCAGGTGCACGAGACTGGTTGGATGTTTGGTTGGTGGGTTGAGAGGCGGGCTGCTGTTGGTGTAAAGACGACTGTTTCTCCAGAGGAGGTCTGGAACTGGGCACATCCAGGGTCGTGGGGGCTGTCGACGTCGGTGTGGGGGTGAACGGAGGCTCCATGTCCTCGCTGAGCGTCCCGTCCAAGTTGTACAAATCATCCTCATCGTACATTATCTCCTCATCCTCGTAGAGGCCCCCCTCTTCTCCTTCGTACAGTGCTCCGTCATCCTCCTCGTACAGAGCCGCCTCCTCTCCTCCGTCTTTGCTGTATCCGCCCTCATCGCTGTAGGCTCCCTGGGTCTCATCGGGGTCCCAGTCCGGGGAGCCTTTACTGTAGCTGACCGAGGAGTGGCAGGAGTGGTAAGAGTCGTTCTCGTCGTAGGGGTCCCTCTCTCCATACTCAACAACGTAGTCCTCCTCGCTCAGCTGACTGCTGCCCCGACTCAGCTCTGCAGACGACGCGTAGCTCCCCGACGGACTGAAGGGAGGAAAGCGGGTTAGGGTACAAGAGTGCAACATGCCCTGAAGAGGCTAATTAAAGTATTTAAGAGGGATACATTTTTTTTAATGACTTTCATTAAAGTTATTATTGCATTTATGCAAATATTTGACCGTGCCATTATGAGCAATAATTTGAAAAATGTTCAGAGAGCAGTTTGCTGGAGCACTCAGTGGCCTACACACGGTGCAATCTACCGGCCAGCCGTACTAAAAACCTTTTCGACAGGTCTCTGCACGGCCAGGAATAATGTTGATGGCTAATCAATGAAAAGCACCAGTGATACAAGAGTAGCAGACAATCACAGCTAAATAGAGCAGAAAAGAATGGTGAGAGGCCTCCAGAAGGCTGACAAAAGAAAAAGAACAAGCATCCAGAAATACCACAAGCAGGGGATGTATTTATAGTCCTTGATGAATGGGGATATTAAAAACAGAACAGCTGCACAGAGAAGAAGGAGGATGTTTCGGGTGGAGGGGGATAATAAAGACGAGAAGGGAGTGGTGAGAATAGAAGGAGAGAGGATAGTGAGTGAGTGAGTGAAGAGTGCTGAGAGGAAAGAGATGAATAAGAATGGGCAGCCGTGAGAGGAGGTTGCTCTTAGTTCTCTGTGAAAGAAATACCATTTGGTCCTTTGTGACCTAATGATGGACTGGCATACACACATGGTTTGTTCTTTCACTAGTAGAAGATTTCAACATGTCGCAGGTGTAAATGACAAAATGAACAATGGTGACCAAGTCGGGTTGTTTGTGATGTCGATTCCCAGGAACTTAGAACTGTTCATTTACTCCAGATAAGCTCCATTGATGCAGAGAGGTTTGGTGTCTTTGTCTCCCTTCACTAAAAGGAACAATCAGCTCCTTGGTTTTATTGATGGTCAAACAGTAGGAGGTTTCCTTAGAATTCCAATGAAAGATTGTTGATGTCTTCTAACAAGAGGTTTCATTGTTGTTTGTAGCAGTGTGCAGCAAGAACAGGGGGGGATTTTATCCTAAATACCAATATTACTAACTCATATTGAATCAATATATATTAATTTAATACATAATTGGTGCGTACAAACAAGAAATCCACATCAAATAAATATTTAGGTAGTAAATCGATTAAAAGGGGGACATTAAACATTAAAATTCAAATTTTGTGACATACTGAGAGACAGTCTCAGACACTGGATTGCAATGCACATATTTTGCAATTTCATAAACAAAATAAAAATTGACTTCCATGTTACACTGAAGAAAACGTACAAACCTGACAGTCCTCTGAGGTTGGTAGTCGAGGTCATGGCTGACGCCAGAGCGCGGGAAAGAGAGGCTTCTGGAGCTGCGGTGCTGCTGGCTGATGGGGTACTGGTGGACGGAGGCGTTGGGCTGGGACGTGCTGTAGTAGGGAGGGGGGATGCTGTTACTGGTTTCACTGCGATAGTCGCTGTCCCTGTCGTCCACAGCACTGTCTGGGTCTTCATCTGCACAGAGGTACATGCAAACGGCAAGAGAAAAAAATTCAGCTGTGTTTTGGGATCTCCTTGCAACGTGCAGCAATAGGAGAAAAGAAGAGCGAGAGGAAGAGTGGCACAGAGAGAATAGTCTCACAGTTCCTCCAATATATGAGTTATCTCCTCAAACTCTAACTGAAAGTCAGCCACCATGAACCTATTTTGTTTCCCAGATTCTGACGTATGTACACTAAAGTACACTTACTTTGTTGGTCTCCCCATAGACTCCAGTTACCTGCAATTAGAACAGGACGGTGTGAGTGTTGAGGATGATAAATTGCACCGGTGTGCAACATAAACATGCATTTACACAATTAAAGCATTAACGTTGCCACGTCGTGGTGTGAATGGACTTGTGAGGCTCCACCTCTTGCAACCTGCTGCTGAGAGTTGGCTCAACGTGCTAAATCAGCATCTCGGTGGTGAATTTCTCCCGTTATCAGATACCCTTATTGATCCTTTATAGTGCAGCAATATTTGACCATTTAGAACGCACAAAAGCCCACGGGTGGTCACATGCATAACGCACCCACTGAGCTTAAACAATCTAATTACATCAACGGTTAAAACACATAATTGTCTCGCTCAGCACAAAGAAATGGGTGGTCCGTACGAGCAGTGATGTGCACTTACAGCACTGGGTTCCTGGTACTCGTAGAGGGCGTTCCTGCTCCTCCTGCAAAGATAACCAGAGTAAGCAAAATGTAAAACTTACAGTCTGAAAGACATTAACTTGTAACCTAAATGTAAATGTTACGCTTATATGCAGAACGTGGAAACCATTAAGTTGTATTTCATTAAGTAGTGCGTGATATACCAGTTACCCCTATTGATCACATTGGTATGCTCCTAAAATGTGAGAGCTGGGATATGAATGCAATGGGCAGACGGCTTACATCTTGGTCCCTCATGGCATTGAGCTGCTCCAGTTTTTTAGCCCAGTATCGTGCCTCATCCTCGGGGATATCTGAAAAACAACATCCAGAAAAACTCAGGAGGCCAAATGGCCACTAATAAAGGCTGTTCAAAGAGTTCATTTAAAAACAACCCATTTACCAATTACTTGGTAATTATTTCACCCAGTTTTGTCCTTTTCACACACAGCTTTAAAGCCAAACCCGTGTCAATACGCCACATTCCCAAACGGAGGAGTCGGGTGTACAGTATCGACTTGAGGAAGAGAAAACCGTAAGGTAATAACACCCAATCAATGGTAAGAAGAACACAGCTAGCTCACTGAGAGGGGAAGGAGCCCCACATCCCCAGCATTCACAGACAGCCGTGAATAAACAAGGCACTTTAAAAGTGGGTCAGCAATGATTTGTGTTTATACATCACTGTTTGCTGTGGAAACATACAGGCATCATTTAAATCGAGTCCTCGTCTCGTTTCCTTAAAGGATTGCTGACATCCTACACTTTCATATTCATAATGACGGTTTCTGAGTTTGGTGTGAATATGGATTTCTCACCCAGGGGCAGTTCAAAGCGCGTGTCGAGTAGCACCAGGTGGAGAGTGGGCTCTTTGGTGCCACTGATCTCATTATCAGTCATGATGACCTGAGAGTCCAGCGTGAGCCATTCCCCCGGACCTTCCTGCGTACAGAGAGACATTTTGCAGCAGACTGAACAAATGGATGAGCGCGATGAAAACATGTCCCATCACCGACTGAGTACAGGGGGTTAAACTGAAGTCTTTCTCGAGCGGTGAGCGGCAAACCTCATTTGACTGTCGGATGTTATGGAGGGGAATCCACAAGGTGCCAACCATGGTGTCCCAGATCAACCCTTTGTTCCACATCTCCACTGTCAGACCCAGGTCCAAGCGGTTAATTTCACTGGATAGGAGAAGGACAAACAAAAAAGGTAAATGGATATATTTTAGCAACTTGCCTTCAATTTTATGCCACTTAATAACTATACTCCACTTCATCTGGAAATATTTAACTCTGAAGATTAAGTTCTTGCACAAAAGAACATATGGTTGACTTAAAAACCTAGACAATAAAGATCAAATCATGATATTTCACAGGGCAACAAGAAATAGAGAAAATGCTTTAACTGGAGGTACGAGTTTCACCATTTACAGACAAATGCTAAACACACAAAACATATTTCTAGGCTGCTTCAGTGTGCCAAATATAAGACATGTCTCTGTGGGAGAAACCCGGAGAGAATCTAACATAAAACATTTACAAGACAGCAGGACACAGAGACCGGGGGGAAGAAAGACGGAGGAATGAAGAAGAGAGGGATGAAGGCAGTGGAGGAGGAGATGGTATTACATGCCTGCAGGAGGAGAGTGGGAACTTTAATTAAGAAATAGGGGGACTGGATTTCCCGTCTCAGTGGTGACTCCTTAAATGAAACGTGGCTGTTGGATTCGTGGCTGTGACTGAAGGGGAGCACTCGTCTGAAGGCCGTTTGGAGGAAGGGATGAGGCTCTCTCTGCAGCCCGAGCGTTACATAACACAGCTTCCCTGATGCACCCCAGTACAATGCTCAATGCCTCCCAAGCATCTTACAAATGCACAGGACTCCGCAGTCAGCCTGCCTGCCGCATCCCACCTGCTAAACCATTCCCAACGTTTACCGCCCATACGCCGCTGCATTGTAAGTGCCACACTACTGTTCTCTTAGCAGGCCAAATTCTGTGTGTTGTATAAGGCTCTAAAGATAGTACTTGGTTAGGAGAAGTGACGGAGGAGTGAGAAGAGGGGCCGGGAGCTTCTTAAAACAATATAGGGGTAAAGGGCACCTGGGAAGAGTTAAAAAGAGGGAGGGGTTGATAGATGGATAAAACAGAAAGGAACTCAAGCTGCTAAAGTGGAGAGTAGATGACAGGGTGGAAAGTGAAGGCTGAGGAAGGAGCGGAGGGAGGAACAGGAGGAGAGAGAGAGCGAGTTCTGTCTGAGGATAATGAGGCACTCACAACATGAAGTCCTGCTCCCAGCTGGGCAAGTTGCCCCTGACAGCAATGGTTGTGCTCTTCACATTTTGTACCTTTAGAGTCACATAAGTGTTGAATTTCTCTGTTCAGGAGAGAGGGATGAAGAAAGGGATGCGTTACAATGAAATGTGTCCGCATTTCGAAAAATAATATTTTGCAGTCCCAGTGAGATATAAATATTGTATTTTACAGAGTGACTGACTTCCCATCCCTTCAATGTCATTGATGGCTGCAGCATGTAATGTGTCCGCAGTCTGATTAAAGATTAATGTCAGATGCCAGCAAGTCTCCTTCTTCCCAATGCCAGGATGCCAGGTCTTACCTTGGGGTCCATCCAGCTTGGCTTTCTTCACTGTGGACACACAGAGGGACAAAGTCACACAGAGGAACACCATCTGCTGTCACCTCAAAGCGCTCCTGCATCCTCTTTTCTGTGTTTTTAAATAGGAAACGGGCAACGGGATGGCCGCAATAATTAAGCCAGTGTGTGAATTATTAAACCGGACTAAGAACTTTAACACCTGTTTTGCAATGGCTATTTATAGGACTGTTGACGTACAGTAGGAAACCGAATTTGCAACTATGCAGATTTGGAATGAGTGCCCTGCATGTTTTGCCGTCAGGTACAGACATGTTGCAACAGTGTGGAAGGAAAACAAAGAAACACACAGCGTTTGAAAACTAAAAATGCATGCAACAAATATATATGCAGCAGCGACTTAAAACATATGACCGAAACACATTTTCATTAATAACGTCTTTTTAATAGAATGAATTCTAGTCGTACCAAGATACAAGCGCCCAAAAATATGTTATGTTCGTGAATGTATTTATTATACAATCGTTCAGGGAGAATACACACCTTTATCAAACTCACAGGATTATTCAGAGTGCATTAAATCACAGGCTCTCTCTCTGCACCACCTTTCTACCAGCTTTGACGTAACACACACACACACACATACATTTTTAATGCTCCACTGCCTCTCCAATGCGCACACACACATCCTACAGAACCCCACACCACCCTGCAGGTGTGTTCACACACACGTTTGCATTATTCACCTGCAAATTAAAGCTGGCTTTGCAATTTTAACCAAACCTGCATCATGATCACCTTATGAGAAACAAAATGCAAACACCAATTCACAACATACCTCACAATGCTCTCCACACCAGAACCGCTCGTACCCACCCGTGAAAAATACAAGTTTACATAAAATTGCCCCGAGTCAGCAGCGCAATTTTCTTTTTTCCATTCCTCACTACTTTTACTTTGTATTCCTTCCATAAAACACCAACAATTTGAGCTCAATCTGCAGCTTAAGTGATACACGGTTATCCACAGGCACAGAAGTACTCACACACACACACACACACACACACACACACACACACACACACACACACACACACTCAACTGCAGTGACTCACTCGCATGCATACACCTGCAGTAATGACAATATATTAATATCAACTAAAAAATGCAACAAACACAAATACACATGCTCTGCCTTTCTGCTCCAGCTCAACTTCCTTCTAAAGTCCAGTTTGGTTTTTCAAACACAGCTGAATATCCACTCTGAATGGAAGAGAAAAATGACATCATTGAATACTATGAATTAATTAACGCAGAAAGGAAACCAGACTGTGTTTTCAGCAGTGAGACATGAGAGCTCGCTACATGCTGTGTGTTAGTGTCAACACTAAAACAGCCCTTGAAATATATCTGTACATGAGGAGGATCAATATAAAAGGAATTGGATTTTCAACAGTGGAAAGCTGAAGCCTAATAACCACACAATCATAAATCTCTCTGACAAGGTGAGTTATGATGAGAAATGTCCACGAGCTCCACATGCATCCAAGCAGAGGACCACAACTCAAACACTCTACATGTTAGTGCCTATCAAAGTTTAGGTTTAGAAAATGACGTCATAGCCATCCATCAAAATCTGGTGAAATGTCCTTATGGGTTTGTTATTCTTTAATCAGAGAATATGCAGCATAATCCGCCAGACCCCAACAGCACATTTTGCGCCACCCCATATAGTTCATGCAGAAAGCACCTCTGACACAGCAGACTCTCACTTATGGGAACTAAGCGGATTGCCAAAAAAAAAAAAAGAGACTTGACGGGAAATCAAGCAAACCCTTCAACTCATACTGTCAGGGAATGTGAAGTAGGGGGTGGGTGAGCGCAGTTCAGCCTTCCACTGACAACATGAGCGCTGACACCATTCAGATGGACAGCACTTTGTTCTAAAGTACTACACATAGACTGCTGACAGAGACATTACATAATCCCAACACATGGTGAAAACTACATTTTGAAAATGTGTAATATCTGCAGGGAAAGACAAGCTCATCCGTATTCCGTTTCCGAATTCTGCTTTGTCGGCAGATGCTCCAAAAACAAGTGCTGCCTGTTCCAGGAGCCACGGAGTGCTGTGGGGGCCAGAAATAGCTCTAGTCAGGTAAGCATGAATGATGTAACGGGAACAGAAAGGCGGCTCTCTGCCAAGTCTCATAGTCTACGACACCGACAGCCGCGGCCCGGCCTTTATGAATGAAGAACGCTCAGGGCCTTAAAGACGCCCGGGACTGACTCAGTGCAGGGACAGTCAGCAGGGTGGAGGGGGGGGAGGAGGTGGAGGGCAGGGCACGACAAATGTGGGGGAGCATCCGTAACGGGCTGGACATATTAAAGGTGACTTTGAAACCACTTTCATTTTACATGTCTGGGACCTCAAAAATAACCTCCAGGCGCTCATTCACTGACCAGGGCTGGCTCCGATTTGGAGCCTAAAAGGATTTGTTGATTAATACCAACAGAAGAATAATCTGAAATGTCTTGATAGTCAATATTTGTGTTTTTCCACCTTGTACTGTACACCTTGTGCGAGTTTCTTTCCACATTTTTGGCGATTGGACCATTAATTAAGTTGCAGATTTAAATAAATGATGAACACAGTCAAATGCACGTCCTCTTCTTCTAAAAACATCGACAAGCTGCAGAGAAATGAGTTCCTATAACAAACCAGAATGCTGATAGTTGTTTTGCAAAAATGCCGATTCAGCCTCAAACGTTTCAGAGGGGGTTTCAGAGGGGGTCTCCCCCCCGCCCCCCGACCCCCCGTCTCCGCTCGGGTCGTCCCCCCGCCCTGCGGTGACCGCGCCGTGCACGTGAAGCAGGAGGTGGTTCCACGTCAGAAGACGCTCATTCATCGCACCGAGACGCGGCGCGTCCTGCGTCGGGGAGTCTGGCAGGAAAGAGGGTGACGCATCGCTTCAGGGAAGAGACGAGCAAGTATTCCCTCACGACTACAGCGGTGCGCCGACAGGGGCTTTTCCTCCTCCTCCACCCCCTCCTCCTCCTCTTAGCACTGCCCACGCATGAATGAACACAGCAGATAACACACACACACACACACACACACACACACACAAACAAACAAACAAACGCGCGCATGCAAACACACACAAACTAACCCACGATAGTAGGAGGAGAATAAAGAGCGGTTCTTCGCCTCCATGGAGTGTTTGCTGCCATAAAGTCTCGTTTTACTACGAGATTCACTCATTCACACAGCTGGCATCTTTATACGAGTGAATAAAACAACGTGCCGTTTGGCAACGGTGCCGTCCAAACGCGTCGCCGGTGACATTTCACCGAACCGCGCCGCGGTGCTTCCCGTCGAGGCTCCGGTGTGATTTACTGATCGATCAGCACAAACCCGGCTGCGCTGCTCCGGCTTACGTCACGCGAGACTTTTTCTACCGGTCAGACAGCCGGTGCGACCGAACCCGCGGTGGAAAGTGACAAGTGACCGGTAGCATCGAACAGAGAGCGAGGGCTTGGATGTCCTCTCTTACCTCCCACACACAGCAGGGACATCTCTGATTCGGTGTGAGCCGTACCCCGCCGTCCTCCACCGAGTGCTCCGTGATTTGTTTGGTCGGTCCCGTTCGTTCTCTTGGTTACAAAAAAAAAAAAAAAAGGATGGGAAAAAAAAATAATCAAACCGCCCACCCGTTACCCTAAATGGTACCGGAAACCAATTAGCGTCATGTCGGAACCGCCGGGTCTGTAGCTGCAGAGCTGTTGGTCTTTTGACAGCGCGAGTCACACAGGAGTGATATCTCCTCCTCCTCCTCCTCGCCGCCCCCCCCTCTTCTTCCACCTCTGCCCCCCTCTACTTCCACCTCTGCATTGCCTCAGCTCTCTTCCGCTGCTCCGCCTGCGCGCACCGCCATCTTGTTTCAGCGGCAGCACCCTGCGCGTCGCTCTGACGTCACGGAGGATGAGTAGCGGGCAGGGAGAGGGGGGCGGGGCGAGGGGGACACGGACGGGATTGTGCTGAATCAATTGGGTGCCGCGAGTGTGGTGCGCGCAATGATGTCCTCGAACAATTTCCGTCATTGTTTTCAAAGTTACAAAGCATTTTAGAAAAGTTATTTTAAATCGCATATACCCAGCTTTTTGAAACTGAATTTAAAATGTTTTATATTCATTCAATTGCACTTGCACTGACAGACTCTTCAATAACTTTGGATACATGTCACCCATAAATTTGAAAAATATCAATAATATATTAGCTAGGGTAAACCAAATAGAGTCTAACAGAAATAACATTAACGTAGGTTGAATTATTTGCATGTATTATTTTCAGGGTGACATGCATGTGATACGATTACAACCATGTCAATTGTGGAATGTAAACTACTCCTCACATACAGTCTTGAAAATAATATTAAGTCCTGTCTGTTCATTATAACATAGATCTCATGAAAAGTATACAAGATCAGGAATATTGAATTTATTTCTGTAGCTTTCATTTTTGTAATTTATTTGGTCAATAAACAGATATGCTTTTGTTCTAACAAGTATATTACAAATTACTGAGTGACATTTGCATTCGATTGAAAACAAAGACATTTTAATGAACTGAGATTCTAAAATTGTTTCATAGAATCCTATTCTTATATTTTGGGATAAGGTTAGCCGGGGAAACAGCCCCTGCAGCTTGATAGTATCTTGTATAAACCACTATATTTCATTCATTGATTTATTTACAGTCAACAATAATAATTATTTGTATTATGCTGCGTCAAAGGTTTACATTCATTTTCAAAAGCAGGACGTTGAGACACAGCGATATCCGTTGTGTTGTGTCCATAAAGTTAGAAATTTGGAGAACAGTTTTGGGCAGATGTCTGAACTCTAACGGAGAGTTATTTAACTGTCTGGCAATGGCGATATTTGAAACGAAGAACAAAGAAAATTATTGTGCCATGCAAAAAAACGTTGAAGCTTATTTTAGATCAAAACAATCAAGTCAAGTCCTAGTGAGAGGGACATGGACCACACGCTCCGGAGGACACGTAGCAGTACCAGCAACAGACGCCAGAGGGCGGCAGCGGCTGTCGAGTAGTAGAAATACTTAAAGAGACGAAGAGCGTTGTTTACGCCTACACTCGTTTCAAGATGGCCGCTGGAGACAACAGCGGTAGGCCTCCGTGCCTTAATTTCTCCGGTCCGGGTCCTTTGGGAAACAGCCAGCCCAGCAACAGCGTGTTCTCCATGCCGGCATCCAACGGCGGCGGGGTCGGTTCGGCCGGCGGAGCGCAGGGAGCGGCGAGGCGGCCCAACCCGCAGCTGGGGCCTGGCGGCGGGGACGGCAACGCCGCTTCGAGCGGAGCTCAGCCGACTGCGCAGAACTCCCTGCACCAGTCCGCTGCGGCAGGTGCTGCGGCAGGCGGAGTAATGGCCACCCCGGCGTCCAACATGGCAGCCACCGCGGCGTCAAACGCGTCGGCGTCGTCGGCACCGAGCGCCGCTCCGGCAGCGGCTTCGGTGCTGGTGTACCGGGAGCCGGTGTATAACTGGCAGGCGACGAAGAGCACCGTCAAGGAGAGGTTCGCTTTCCTCTTCAACAACGAAGTGCTCAGTGACGTTCATTTTTTAGTCGGAAAAGGAATGGGTGTTCAAAGGATACCTGCGCACAGGTAATGTTGACAAACTCCAATGCACTATTTTCTTTTCTTCAAAATATCACCCTGGTAACCGTATGTCTGAAACGTTTTTTTCTTTTCTTTTTGTGGTTGCTGATTGTTGACGTTGCCAGGTTTGTCCTGGCGGTCGGGAGCGCAGTGTTTGATGCCATGTTCAACGGCGGAATGGCGACGACCTCGACGGAAATCGAGCTTCCTGATGTGGAGCCGTCGGCCTTCCTGGCGCTGCTGAAGTAAGGGGCGTCGGAGGGCGGGCCGAGCAGCCCGTCATGTCGGTGCTCTGAATGTGGGCGTGTTCTGTTTTGTTTTGTTTCTTTGTCGTGACAGCATCGCGGAAATTACGGTCCGACAACGCAACATGCAATTATATTTATTTGTCAACGTATTCAACGCTTGGAATTAATCAAGCACACTGCAAAAAATACAGCATTGTCTGATACCACATGTGTACCTATTGCAGGTTTCTCTACTCTGATGAAGTCCAGATTGGGCCGGAGACGGTGATGACCACGCTATATACAGCTAAAAAGTATGCAGTGCCAGCCCTGGAGGCGCACTGCGTGGAGTTCCTCAAGAAGAACCTGAGAGCAGACAACGCCTTCATGCTGCTCACGCAGGTCAGCTTCCCACAGCAATGAATGGAGGACGGCTCTTAAATGTGACTTAATGTTAAATGTTTTTTTTTAAATATTTGTCGTTTAAGGCTCGGCTGTTTGATGAGCCGCAGCTTGCCAGCCTTTGTCTCGAGAACATTGATAAGAACACTGGAGATGCTCTCGCCGCTGAAGGCTTTACGGACATAGATTTGGGTAACGCCCCTTTGTCAGTGTCATTATTGTCCCGTGTTAAAGTTCAGATAAGCAAACAAACTGACCATTGAGTGTTTTTCTCTGCTAGATACCTTGGTGGCAGTTTTGGAGAGGGATACTCTCGGGGTGAGGGAGGTGCGTTTATTTGTTGCTGCGGTGCGCTGGGCCGACGCGGAGACTCACAGGCAGCAGCTGCAGCCCACGCCCGAGAACAAACGCAAAGTGCTGGGCAAAGCGCTCACGCTCATCCGCTTCCCTCTAATGACCATTGAGGAGTTTGCTGCAGGTGAGCAGAAACGCCACAAAACCCTGGCTTTTACCGATGTGCTAAAACACCCGCACAGCCTTTGCGTGATGGTTCTCCCCGGGTCTTGCCATCGCCCCGACAGGTCCAGCCCAGTCCAGTATTCTGACCGACAGAGAGGTGGTGAGTCTCTTCCTTCACTTCACCGTGAACCCGAAGCCTCGCGTTGAATTCATCGATCGGCCTCGCTGCTGTCTCCGCGGGAAGGAGTGCAGCATCACGCGCTTTGGCCAGGTGGAGAGTCGCTGGGGCTACAGCGGGACGAGCGACCGCATACGGTGAGTTTGGAGCAGAGAATTCTGAAAATGATTGTGCTTTTTACGTTTAAGTTAGTGAGGTTATATTAATTCAATGCAATCTGTGAATTTGTTCATTTGTTTGTTGTTTTATGAACTAAAAATACCCATGAGTTTAGTCATCCATTGGACATGCATGTCCACGCAGTTCGCTATCAAACCCTCTTGATGTGTTTCCCTCTCAGGTTCTCAGTGAACAGACGGATATTTGTGGTTGGGTTCGGTCTCTACGGCTCCATACACGGACCCACAGACTACCAAGTTAACATACAGGTGTGCACCCCGAGCCCTTCCGGACATTTGTTTGGTTTCTCTGTACTGTCGGAATGTCGTATAACGTATTGGGGACGTTTGTGTCTGTTTTCTTCTCGGTGCAGATTATTCACACAGACAGCAACACGGTGCTGGGTCAGAATGACACCGGCTTCAGCTGTGATGGATCAGCCAACACCTTCAGAGTCATGTTCAAAGAACCGGTGGAGATTTTACCCAACGTCAACTACACTGCCTGTGCTACACTCAAGGTCTGTGACGTGTTGCTGATCTTACCAAGTACACTTAAAGCAGTTTGCTTTTTAGGAGTGCATTTCATTTTGGAAAAGGCTCGTGATTATTTACCCTCTTTGTTTGGTCTGTTAAATATTCAGAGCTAGTGAGAAATGGTTATCAAAGTTTGGCTCAATTTTTAAGTGGCTATTTTCGCTTGAACAGTGCACACATCTAAAATTATAAATGTACCCTCATGAAAGACAAAGAAAACTGTTGATTGAGTAATAAATCAATTGACTTTGCGTTTTTCAGCTATAGTTTCTTTGCCCCCATTGTGAACTTGGTACTGGCACTTGGCAGCGTTTGCTTTACCAGTTTATTCAACCTCTCCGTCTGTCTGTCTCGCAGGGCCCGGACTCTCATTATGGGACCAAAGGAATGCGAAAGGTAACACACGAGTCGTCATCCACCGGCACAAAGACGTGTTTCACTTTCTGCTACGCAGCGGGCAACAACAACGGCACTTCTGTTGAGGACGGACAGATTCCCGAGGTCATCTTCTACACATAGTCACCTCTGACATAGTAACGATCCTCCATCAAATGTGACAACCTGACACCAGCGCGGCGCCACACCTCAGCAGCCGTTTCTGGGGACTAATCTTTCAGACGTCATATTGTTCCCCCCATGTAGTGCACTACAGTTTGCCACATGGGAAGACAAATGGCCCTAAAGCAATGTAGGTCACTACATGGGGCGTAGCTTGTCATTTGAGATGCTGCCTCTCTTTATCAGCACCTTCTGTCGTCCCCCTTTGTGTTGTAATGATGCCAGCCTCTGCAACAGAAATGACTGTTACCGACTCCACGAGGGAGGAAAAGGGGGCGAGAGGGGCCTCTCAACATTATTCACCCTATCGATGTCACTGCTGTGGATTAACGGCATGAAGCTTGAAACTGAATTCTACTTAAACTGTACAATTCTCCTTCCTGTGCTCCACATAATTAGTTCAACGGAGTCGCAAACTGTATGAATGTACAGATCTGCCAAGACAAGATCCTCATCCCCGTTCAGTACAATTGAGTGTGTTTCACTCAATTCCATATCAGCTGTAACTTCCATAGAACAGTAGACCTCATAGTCTTTATAAACTCCTTGAACCAAACTTCATATTCATCTTGACAACATGATAATGTTAAGCAGTTGTGGGGTTTCTACATAAAGTACAATCTGTGATATCTT